AAATTTCAACTTTTATACAATCAAATATTGGTTTTCATGAATGTAAATGTAAAGTATACAACATGAGAAATTATTATTTTTGGCATATTGTGAATGTCTTTTACCTAGAACTCATCTATTGATTTAAAACGAGTGTTTGCAAAGAAAATTCTTTCATGATTGATCTTGGGTTTTCATAGGAACCTAAATTGCTTGATGGTACCCATCAAGTTTCATTTTATCTAATGGAATTCCACGATCGCACATCGTCGCGGAGTTCTAAGAAGAGTTCTTATGTTGTGAACTTCTACGACATGCCAAATTTACAGTGTTTGACCAATTTCATCCAATTTATGACCTTGTTGCTGCATTTGCTCTTGAGAAACATCGCGAGTGGTGTGATAGCTGCTAAAAGACCCAAAAATGGAGCATAGGTTCTTCTGACTCTGCTGATGCATTTGCTCTCGAGAAACATCACAAGTGGCGTGGCTTGGTACCTGCTAAGAGACAAGGCAATGGAGTTAGGCAGGTTGGGTCTTAGTGGTTTATGGCGTCATAATTCTTTGTTCCATGGCACGGCTGTGACGAATTCCAATCTGCTCATATGGGTGTTTCAAATCCTTTAAGTCTTTTCAAAATTGAGAATTGCAATCGATGAAAAAAGTTCCACTGCCTACATTGTTTGTCGATTCTAGAATATGTCAGGTGTACAAGTGATGAGGTAACATCGGGTAAAACAAATTGTAAAAGTTTCCAGCAAACAATTTAGATTGGAAGCGGCTAGTTATCACTAGCTTAGAGCTAATTAGCACTCACTCTACTCCATATAATTAGTCCAAAGTGAAAGATAAATGCCCTTCCCTTTAGGTGAAGGTGGATTAACATTAAATAAATACGTCAAATTATTTGAATATATTAAATTTATTAGTATAAATTTTTATCATGATAGTATTTACATTGAGTTCTAGTTCTAAATGTAACCATTGATTTCCATCCATGCAAATTGATATGTGTATTAGCTTTGTTTGTTATATGATACTGTATATACATATACATAGATATAAATAAATAATCTCTTCCCATTGTTCCAACTTTTACCAAAGAGACATAATGTGCACCAACTACTAACCAGCATACGAAAGTGAGTGTTGGGAAGATTCCGCATGTTACTCTCTTGACATGCGGAATATTTAAGAACAACAGTACAAATCATCTTCCAGATTCTTGCGGAAGAAAGGAAAAAACTCGAGCTCAAGACAAATCGTCCCTTTTGTGAAATTCAGTCTTTGAGATATATTTCTATAATTTTTTTATCATGTATATATTTATACGACCAGAGTACTGTACAAGTATTGTAGATTCGGTCGATAATCATAATTGCAAGTGAAGCATGCGCTGGCCGGGGACGCTTGAAAGACTCGGAGATATTCCGGAGTTCTTAGCGTCGTCGATGAGTCAGCTGGAGGTGTCGAACGTTTGCGCACCAACTCTCAGGGGAACCAAGGCCTGGTTCTTTCGGAGCGGGTGCTGGCACGAGAATATTTCTGGGTTCCCTGAGGGTGATGATGTTCTCTGAGTTGGCCTAACCAGTCAGAGCTTAGATAAATTAATCATGGAGTGCTCAATGTCGAACGGATTCGACCCGTCGACATGTGCGGGAACAAACAATTAATCCGATGCGATGCAGTTCATTGAACGCACCCGCTTCACGGGAAACCTTTTCTACTTCGTCACAACATCCATCCATCACATGAATTTGGGAGCAATGATTGCTTCATCTTGTCCAGAAATAATGAGCTCAACTGGAACGAACGTTGAAACGCATCCCAGCTTACTACGACGTTACAGCGCTGCCGTATCCGATCACCGCGGGGATCGACTGCAGGGAAATTGCCAGGGGTCCTCATGCGCCATCGCCATCGACCAGAACTACAGACCAGTGGCTCGGAGCGTGGTGCGGCTGCTACATGGTTGCAGCAGCTGACTTTTTCAAACGACGGTGATGTGAACGTGGTCGCAGGGAGAGAATCTGGTGCCCGACGCATGCAGATGGGGATGACATGTACTGCAGCCTTCTGCTGTGGTCAGGCTGCAGGGTTCCATAACTCGGATCTATGGGACGTCGGCAGCAAGGGGGTATGACTGTGAATAAATCATGGCAGAAAGAATATGATTGTCTCGGGCCAAAGCGTCAGAAAAGAAAAGGGGCGTTGGAACTTGGAAGGGGCCAGTTATTTACTGGTGGAGGCATGGGAGGGCGTTTTATGATCGTTTCACAGTGAAGTGAGTGAACCCACGCCCAAGCAAGCAACCAAGCAACCAAGCAAGCGAAGTATACGTTGGGGGTGGGGGGCCTTGGCTCCCGTTGCGGATTGATGAGGGAGTGGATAGGTTTATAGATAGAATGGGAGTGAGTGGGTGCATTGGCCATTTTGCACCAGCTTACTGAACGTCTTCACTCGCCAGTGGGCTTTGCCGTCGACGTCGACATGGATGCTGCTGCTGCTGAACGGGTCAAGTTTGCTTTTACTTCTTGCGTAAAGCTGCAACCCTGGGCTCTACCAAATTCTTCTCCCCCACCTCGATCGTAGCTAGGGGCGATCTACATCTACATCAACATCAGACCTGCCCTGACTCCATCACCGGAAAAGTGTCATTCTCTTCTGTTTGTAGTCGAGCCCAGGCTCAGCTCAGCTCAGCTCAATGTGGAGGGCTACCTTCCAGAGAACGGCATAAGAATCGAAGCGGTCAGGCAGGATCCAGCAGCTACAGTAGGACGTTCCATCCGTTCTCTCCCCCTTCTCCAGGAGTTTCTTTGCTCCTCTTTGCTGGCATGGTGGCTTAAAGAATGGGTCCTGAGCAGCAATGTTGAAACAGGTGTCACTTGTGGTATTTTGGTGTTTGCATTTCTCCACATCTCTCGGCGCTTTGAGATGGATATCATCATGCTAGCGACGATAAGCAGAGCTTTCGATGAGCTCTGAAGCACTTTTAGTGGCACTCTGGCACTTTTATTTGTTTGCTTTACCACTAGTCTTAACATCGATTATGAGAACCTGCCAAAAGTTTCATTTTTTCGAGTCATGACATCATCGTCGTCCTCCTCGAACCATTTAAAGATCACCATACTCTGCACTTGCAGGTAATCTCATCCTCTCACTGTCGACTTTGAGAGGAACATGAACTCTAGTCTGCTGCAAGGTTTACGAAATGATTCTTTGATACTCCTAGAGCTCGTTGCTCGATGGGAATATAGAACCCGTGCGCGGAAGGCAGGAACTACTCTTCCGAAGATGTATTCAATTTCACACCTAGGAGAGTTTTCAAGCTTGGGTACTTTCTGACATGTGTTACGAAGAAAAGCGAGGAGAAGTAAAACCGAACTCGAGCTCCTGTCGTCGAAGAAAAGGTCTGAAGCTTCGATTTCCTTTAGACTATCAGATGTCCTGCATCTGGGGGTATGATCCTCAATCTTTTGCCTGCAATTGGACAAGTCCTGCCTTTAAGTTACTGTCTTCCATAAGGCTGCCGGTTCAGTACTGTAGTATAGTAGACCAAGTCTGAGATCCAGCTGACTAAGATCTCACAACGGATCAAAGCTTCAGCTGAATCTCTCTTGAAGAAAAGCAGCAACTGCTCCCGTCAACATCAAGCTCCATTTCCAGCCTATGTTTACGTACCTAGCCAAATTCTGATAAACAAAGCACACATCACGATATGAAACGGTTGTGAAGATATGGACTACTTTACCATATATAAGGTTACGCAACTCAATTTAGATCTCCAAGCATTATTGGAGATAGTTATATTCGCGTACAAAGAGCATAAATAAATGATTCGTACGTTGGAATTACTAGAAAGGTCAAGCAACAGTATTTTAAAGAGGTGCCGCTTAATATTTCTTATTCCAGGATGACGATAAAATACTGCCCAAAGTAGCAGCATGGAATCAGAAGCTTTCTTGACGGGGTCTTCCCATGTTTATTTGCTATCCACTTGGCCCCATTTCGAATCAGTGCTTTGATATACTACAACATGTGGACTGTAGTATGGTGGGCCTTCCATTCTAGACAGAAAATGGTTGCTCTATTTCCATGGTGAGCTCATAACTTAGCCTGAGACAGAAGAACGTAATTTTGAGCCTTATTGGAGCTGGTCGGTAGGCTGCCTTAAAGGGTGAATAAGAACCAGCGCTCATATAACTTGAAGGTCCTGCATTTTTCGCTGCCATCAGCTAAAGACATCGATTACAGTCATGCACCTAAAGAGCACTGCGCATTCCAATCATGCAGTTCCTTCTTACCATGAAGGTCATTTTTGTCCAAAAAGCAATGCAAATTTCAGCCATGCAGTCTCTTTGAAATTTCAAGCTTATTGTGTATGAAGTGCATGAAGGTTTGGATGTTGAAGTTAAATGCGCGTAACATATTTGTTTTCTTTGCTTTTCCCATGGAATACTCACATCTTAGAAAGCATAGAGATAAAACCAGTGCAGTTTCCCGACCTACACACTTGGGTTTTTACATACCTACTCATTTTTGTGTGCTAATTAATTGCTTAATACTGTACTTATTCAGCGGTTAGCCCAGTGAGGAAACGATTTGTTCGAAGGTTGTGAACTCATGACTGACAGTTCGTTTGGTTTAAATTCCTGTATTTAGAGTTGAGTCCTCCATTTGTTATCCAAAACCTCATCAGGAACACAATGATGCAAATTGCGAAGAGGGAGCAGAGAGATATCTTGATGAAAGAAATATGCAAATATAAATTCAATTAAATCTACCCCACAATTATGACAAGAATCGGAATCATGAGGGGGTGCAATAAGAAGGGAATATATGCGGCTTTATACAAATGGGAAAATGGACAGAGAAGTCGACAAATGATGCAGATACTTAGCACTTGATGAGAGATGCAGGATGTCATGGCTTACTTTCCTGATTGGGATGCAGAGGTGAGTTGGTTCAGAAGCAGAGGAAGGACAAGGAGAAAACTACAAATATCATATCCGATTCGTCTGATTCAACTCGTTATCTCCAGTGACAAGTGCAGAGCCAAAGCTCATAACTAATCATTTTCTTTCCCACTTTTCTCTGCTGGTCCTCCTGCTGTCAGTTTGCCCATGCAGATCTACTGCAATCCCTTTGTCAAAAGCTGGCCCTTTAACTTCGCCGGCACCAACTGATGTCTGATGGCTCCCGTGCACAATGGATGCCATAGGCCACGACACCTCCCCCATCCTCTGCAGCCCCGTTCCCATAAACTTCTTCTGCGCAGACTAGGACCGCTACAGTGTGCCCTTTTCGGCTTATCTCCAGATTTTCCACTAGTAAAATATTGATTTTCCCATCGTCATCAGGATAACAGGAGTGCTCGCCAAGTTTCCCAACTCCAGAATGTCATTACGCAGGTTTGTGTGAGATGTCGCCAGCTAGATTTGGTTGTTCCACTCATTCTTTCGGAGTGGTGGTGGGATATCTTTTGACTTTGCGCCGGTTACGTTGTGAAGTTTGGTATTGCTGTTAATCATATCTGTGCATTCCAACGATGAGTGTTTCTCTCTGGGGGTAGATTATGATGTGCCACGGATGGAAAACTCAACACGACGAACCGCAGAATGCTATTTGGGTCTGACAGAACTTGATTGCATTTCGATGCGGATTACTGCGTGCACTTCATTTTCCAGCTCGATCATCATCATTTCAGTTCATCCAACAACGACAATTGAATGTTGGTCAATGAGGGTTTATGAAACGATGGGCACCCTAGGCTTGACCTCTTTATCTTCTGAAGCAGAGAAGGTCCCAGCTCCAGGAGCGTTGGAGATGGAAGATGAAATGGCAGAGCCCGTTTGTTCAACATAACGAGCAGGAGGCTCTTACACTAGCGATGGGATTGAAAGGTCAGCATCGCTGGTTGATCAATGACAGCCCGATGAACTGAAAGCAGTGCAGGCCCTTGACATTGGTGAAGCGTAATATTTAAAATGATGACACGATGGATGGATTCTGCAGACATGGCCAAAATAGTGTATATCATCAAATCGCACTCTCATGCAAAGTACTAGTTCTGCTTGTCTGCGTACTCAAACGTGCACACACTGCTTTCGGTGTGAATCTCAAGGAGCAAGTCCGGTGTCTGTTCTGTCTGGCCGATCAGACTTAAATTATCCTTTCTTTAGAGCTCAGGACGCCTGTCCTCCTGCAATTGATCTGCTCATACTTCCCTGCAGCCAGACTGCACCAGTATCTGTCGATGCTGCGTCGTCTGACCATTCTCCTCCCACACATGCTCCTGCTGCATATGCTCTAGCTAACCGGGGAGAAGAAGAAGCTCGATGGACGCTGAAGACTGCGTGTCACATGTCGTTATTTCTGTTCTGGGCATATTAGTCAGTGATTTCGTCCATGAGGGGCTCAGCAGTGGCTCGTCCAACTTTTCCCATCTCACACATGCTCCGACCTGGAAAGGTGGACTTGTGGTCAGAGGAAACAATGAGTGTGACATGTTGTCAAGTCAGTGACAGCGTTGAAGTCAGATGGGAGTCCTGGAGCTAAATTGTGGTCTTCGTCTCCATCCCGCCATCACTTGTTGTGCAAAGGAATTGTTTTTAGCTCAATAAACAGCTCGCTCTGCTAACTTGCCGTCAGACCTAAAGCTCACTGTCAAGAAGTGGAAATTTGATTGGCGAAGTTCTCTAAGAAGTTCAGCGTTGCGTCTGGCAAGAGGCATCACTGTCTGAGATTTCTCTCTTCGCTGCGTTCACATGACAAGGGTAGAGAAAACTTGTGAAGTTTCTCACCAGTCAGCTTGCCCCGGCTTGCGCACGAGGATGCCAATCTTGGAGAGGACAAGTGAGATATGCAGCACGGCTATCGTGGATGACATTCACCGTCGTTGATTGTTACAGAGTAGCTTCTTTAAGGTTGTGAGCGAAGAATATTTCCGAATTTCGATGGCCCTTCGATTCAGAGACGATGATATACAAGGAAGACACCACTCCATCATGTGGTGGCTCAAAAGATCCCTCTCTTGGTAGTTTTCATGGTTCCCGACCAAGAATCTTGACAGAAAAACTAACATATCCAATAATATCTGCAACCTTGCTGTGTGGATCTGACAGGACATAATTACGTGAGCAAACCGGTTTCAAGGGTCTGCAACAAAGAGGTTTATGTTGCATCCAGGATACAAGATTGCCGCTCTGCACCACAAGTCGTGCTCGCCTCACTGACTGGAAAGTCAAATACTGTGAGAGGAAAAAGCATGTGGTGCTAACGATGGTAGACTAGATTCTCCACTTCTGTTGAGTCTGCAAATGTAACAGCAGACAGAAGAAGGTGATTCTGACAATGAAATGCGTGTCACGACTCTTTCGTTCGATGCAAATCACATCCTCATCTTCTTCTTCGTCAAGCGCATGAAGCGCAAGGCCATCCAGACTTCGTCCCATAGCCAGTGGAGCTGATCCTCAATCTCCCTGAGTGGAAAAGCAAGCGAAGAGTTTATCTCTCGTCAATCCACGTTACCTCTTCAGGGTTCCCGGGGATGGATAAATGGTTCTTGTCGGAGGGAGTTCTGAAGTTACAGATTTACAGGTCAGGGTAGACAGATAGGAGGTTCTCGTCGCTGTCTGCATGGATCTCTTTTGATAGATTATGCACATGACAAGATTCTCAGCCTTGAACGCGCAGCAAATGCTCGTGACCTCAGATGTTTCTACGTGACGAGAATGATGATCACTTTTGTTGTGAACGCACCCCCTTGCACATTCTGCAGCAATTAGTCACCTAAACATGTCACCTACTGCTCAATAATGGCTCACCAAGTCGCAGGTGCTGCTGCTTAGTGCATACTTCTCTTCGATTGCTTTACAGCCCTCGGAAATTCCAGGAACCCAGGTCTCACTCATTCACTAACTCACTCATGCAAGCAGGAGTGGTCCGCTGATCCATGGACGTCATCAAATTCCACCTCAAATTCATGCCCCGTCCCGTCCAGTCGCCCTACCCACCGACCTACTCACTTTGAACAAGACTCTCAAGAGCACATGGACATGCATTCCATTCCTTAATGGTTTAGGCCCCCAGCTCAGTCGCTAACTCACTCCCCAAAAATCTGGCAGCTGATCTCTTGCACATGGAAAGCTCCTTCATCCTTCCAGACAGATCCTCAATCACGCACTCGCTGATCATCTAAACTCATTCCTTTGTGCCCTGAGCCACCGACTCACTCAACGATATGATCCTCTATGAGGGCATTGTCAGTCGGCCATGGAAGCACCCACAATTGTAGCACCTCATTCACGGGTAGGGTGCCCTGTACTCCGAGGGTTCTAGGTTACGAGGCCCCCTCGACGTCAGTCACCTGCCACATGAGAAAGATGACAAGGGCGCAGCGGTGGCAGTCGCTCTTGCCGTGCTCATACGAAGTCTGAACGCCCAGAGAGCCTGCAGAGATTGCGATTGCGTTTGGAATGATTGAATCGGGAGCGAGCTGGATTCTGTACGAGCATTAGCATCAAAACTCCACCGGCCACATGGCGATTGCAAGGAAGCAGCAGCAGCAGAAGCATGAGCATGCAGTGGCAGGGCAGATTCAGCTGCAGCAGGCGATTCGGGTGGAGTCGTGAGTGAGTGAGTGACTTCGGGGAAGCGGATCGGATTCGAGAGATATCGGATGTGGTTGCATTGCGATCGATTGCGAAAGGGAGAGAGACGGAGGGAGGTACGGGGTCGCGTTGACATTTAGATTTAGGGCCGGATTTGATTTGATTTGATCGAACGAGGGCGATGGATACCGACGCGCAAGAGCAGATCGAGGAGGTGATTCTGACGGGCGATGACTTGATGATGGGCCCGCCGTCGCCGCTGGTTCCTCCGGACCTCGCTCCTCGGATCCTCGACGGCATGGAGCTCTGCTCCGCCAATCTGCGCAAGCTCTTCGAGTGCCTTCACAAGAACGACATCGAGCCCTTCTGCCAGGACGAAATTCTCATGTACCGCCGCTGCTCGCAGGCGCGCGACACCGCTCTGAGGGCGAGGATCTATGGCGCCGAGGAGGCGCTGGGCGTCGACCTCCCCGAGGATGAGGTCCGGGAGCGAGTGGTCAAACTGCAATCCGAGGCGACGCTGCTCGAGAGGCGCTTCGTGCTCGCCAGCGGAGTCGAGGGCGTCGAAGGGTTCCGCCAGCGCTGGTCTCTGAATGGCCAATTGCACGACACCAAGAAGCGCATCGAAAGCCTCGAACGAGGGCTCGCGAGCCAGCACGAGGAGCCGGCTGCTGCTATCGAGCCCCCCCGGAAGAGATCGTGGTACCAGCTGTGGTGAGGGGTTGGGGCTCCATCATGGAATTGGGCATCCGACTCGACCATCTCCTGAATCCCTCCGGCTGGAATCCTGCGAATTCTGCAAATCGCCATCGCCCGCATTTGGAATTCGAGGAATGAGCTGAAGACACTCCGTCCTCTTCACGACGGGACGAACAAGAATTGGAGAATGATAGTCGGGGCACAGATCTATTTGACATACGTTTACAGCCTAGCCCACCAGCAGCAGATTCTTGTGTTTACAAGGCTGGTGAGACTCTTTCAGTTCGAAATGAAGAAAATCCAACGAGAGGGTGAAAAGCGGGCTTGAACTTCGAACTGCGGGTAGAGACTGAACGAGAGATTTGACATGCGAAGACCATGTCAATGTTTTTTTGATCACCTCAATAGAATTGTGGAATCACACGATCACAGAGAGTACCCAGTCGTCTGCTCTTAACACGGCTAGATTTCATGAAGTACTTGTGAATGTGCCAGTGGTCTTTCAGTTCCAACATTGTATGCTTTTCTGTTGTATATTGCTGTGGTCCTAAATTAACTGTAAATTCGACAGGGATGCATCATTTCATGCGTTTCTACCAAACTAGTTTCTCGCCTACATCGTCTTTAAGCTAACTGAACTCTGTCTGCAGAGACGACACCCGAACAAACATCTGCTAAGTAACATATTTTCAAGTGCAGAGGATATTACGGTCCCAGCGATCCATATAATGAGATCGGCGATGGGAACTAGTTCAACATGGGTATGTATGCTTGATTATCTCGTTCGTCTACTACAGCTACAGTGGAGTCTAGCTCCACTAGTAAGCGCTAAAAACTGACACGAGCAGTATGTGTGGTGGCACTTGACAGAGATATTGTCCTGAGAAACAGGTTGGAAGATTTGATATCATCCTTTCTCACAAATTGGACAGAGTTGCTCTTTTCCATGAAAATCATCTTTTGCACGGTCTCAATTCTTCACAGTTCGCAACTTTCACACATTTCGGCTCTCAAAGGTATTCAAGCCTAGTATTTATATGGTCTTTATCGCCTTTTGATATGTTTATATGCATAGTCTAGATGCCACCACGATTAAACGAAAGTTCAGACCGTGGGCTCAATTCACGAAGAGGACTCTTGTGTGATTCAAGAAAGTCCATGTATCATTTGAATGTCAGCTGGCTTCTGCGCGACGATATTACGATATATTAAAGATATACTTCCAGAAACTCAGTTCTTGAATATCGACGCACATTAATGAGTGGAGCCAGACGTTGAAGGATAGCTTGCATTGCACATTTGAAGCGCCCATGACGGCTATCAGCTTTCAAGGATACAAAGCTGTCTCTGAGATTAAAGATTTGCCCATTTCTTCTCACTTAGCTTTTTCGCACTATTGTCGTTGATGTGGCTCTGCCAAGTAAAGCGATCATAAATTAGTGTCTCTTGAAGCCAATGTACAGACCGGCAGAGTATTTACTACAAGGAAGCTATAATGTCGACTCAAAACATCGTACCATTTCGACATTGTAACCGATAGCGCAATCTTTTGAATGATAAAAATAGGCGATTAGAACGTACGTCCTTGGGGTGAGAATAGATGGTATATCCCTTTATTTTCTTACTGTACTTTATTCCTTACCTTCCTGTTTTGCATTCATAACAAGAATTTGTAAAAGCACAAGCAGCAAAGAGGGAGAAAGTGAGCAGAAGCCAGCTGACAGATATGTAGATCGAGGAGCAAGGTCGAACTAGTTTGGGAAAGGTAACAGTAATTAAAAGCCCGCAGCAGAACTTTTCCACTTGAACATAATATTTTGTTACAGCCTGTGGCTCTAAGCAATATCTGATATCTATCATCTGCAGCATCAGATAGCAAAGCTTTGCGACTTATTTTAGACTTCTTACAATTTGTCAAATTTCCAGATGAAAAATCCCAAGCCAGTTTAAGTACGTTGGGTAGCTAAATTTAACGGAGCAGAGGTAGGATTGTAGAAGAGTATAATAGAGAAGCAGGTGGCAAGTTTAACAGATTAATATGTAGTAGTAAAAATGCTAAGGATTCAATGGTATAGGAAAATGTTTTAGACTCGTCATGTATGTTTGTTGGAAAATTTTCTGATACTTGCACAATTAAGATCTGCAAATGTTTTCTGTGATAGTTAAAAATTTGACTGTAATTCAATGAGAAAGATTATGTTCTCATTCTTGACAAAAATTTGCAAATTCATATTTGCCAACTTAACAAAAGGCCAAATTGCTTAGCGAGGAGAAAGATCTATGGAGATTTTAAATTCAGATAGAACAAAAATAAGATTCATATTGCAGTATATGATTTGTAAGCTTTTTGTAATTGATTGTAACGATATGAACATTGTAGTATGAACTAATCTCATAACCCATCTCATTTTCATCGGAGGCAGGTATAGAGAACATTCTATCATATCAAAGTAACCGACCTATTGAAAAAGACAAATCAGTACGTCTTTTGGAGCTGGGAACTTTATCTACAAATTTACCCGGAGCTAAGCATATTCGCCTTGTGCTCAATACGCACGTCTGTACAATCCTCAGCAGCGCCATATCATGAACAGGCTAAAGGCTAAAACTATGAAGAAAAAGGCTGAGAACTCTAAGCTACCATCGTGTAAGGTTCGGAGCTTTTCTTCTTCTCGGCCAAAGCCTCTTCGACTTTGTCAGCAAGTTTTTCATCACATCTCCGGAATACTTCGATTTGACGTTTCTGAATGAAATCTTTAGCTCCCATAATATGTCCGGCAATGTTCTTGGCAGTTTGTTCTTGATCTTCCGAGCTCATGTTTTGCCACAGCATGCGAGGCTGCTCGTAATCATCATCCTCGACCCACCTTCGAGCTGGCTTTCTATCGACTACTCCTGCTGCATGGCTGTTTCAGATGACCAGTTCCACACATGTCAGAGGTGCTAAAGTTAATGCAAAGAACTGAATGTGAATTACGTTGAAATTGACAGCGACGGCGAGATTACTAATATTCATTTCAACAGGTCAGAGCAGAGTAAAATCGTTGCATCCTTAGACGTATATAAGAATGAGAACATACTTGTATGGATGCACGTCTTTTTGTGCAGAATCCGGCTGAGGCAAGTCGCTGAACGAGTTAGGGTAATAGTTGGGCTTGCTACCACCGTTGTCGGTAGTCACCATAGTTCCGTCTCGTGCATAGTTCTGAACTTTAGCGAATGGGCATGCGTTGATGGGAAGCTGCATCAAGGTTTACGTTCGACAATATTTTAGTAGATTGCCCAGAAGCCTCAGGAAAATCCCGGCCGACTGATGATAAGATGACGCTATAGAACGGTGTCTAAATCCTACAACTGCTTATTTCCTGCAGATACTGAACATGCATGCTTCGCCAGATACTAGTACAATATGCAAACCACCTAGACAATGCACAGGACCTCCTTTCCCATTAAAACTAAATGTTAGCAGCTATAGAAACTATTTGTACCTGCAAGTAGTTGCCGCTCAGCCTGTAGCGTGCAGCATCATCGTAGGCGAAGAGTCGTGCTTGCAACACACGATCAGGAGAAGCTTCAATACCGGGCACCATGTGGGCGGGTGAGAATGCTGATTGTTCGACCTCAGCAAAGTAGTTGGTGACATTGCGATCCAGTACCATCTTTCCTACTTCCCTCAGTGGATAATCCTTGTGCAACCAGACCTGCAAAAATCATCACGCGTTTATTCGACCGAAACTCCACCGAAAGTCAACTGCACTCGTACTCGGCGTTTAAAAGGAAAAAGCCCGAGTATCATTTCTAGTATTGACATGGCCTTACTACAAATGAATCCTTAAGCACGAGAGACGAGACCAGGTTACGCTACCTTCGTCAGATCAAAAGGATCATACTTGTACTTTTCTGCGTCTTCCAGAGGCATGACTTGGACAAAGAAAGTCCACGACGGAAAGTTTCCCTTCTCTATATTTTGGATCAAATCTTCTGTTGCGTAGTCTGGGTTGATACCAGAGATTTTAATGCCCTGCTCATGGGTCAAGTTCTTGATGCCTTGGTCGCTCAGGAAGTGGAATTTCACCCAATTAGCTTTGCCTTCCGAGTTTACCCATTTGAAAGTGTGAGATCCATAACCGTGCATGTGCCTAAAACCGTCCGGAACTCCCCGGGGAGAGAAGGTAATCAGGACCTGCAGGAAGTGGAGACGAAATGTTACGGAAGTACATGAGCACATTGTACCAATTACATTCAACTTTCTCCTCTGCAGCTTTCAAATTGCCCACAGGTGCATACAAGCGTAAGGTCTCAGAGCATTTTAACAGCCTTTACCTGATGGAGAGACTCGGGTACCAGACTGAGGAAGTCCCAGAAAGCGTTGGGGTCTTTCATGTGCGTTTGAGGATTCCTCTTCTGTGAGTGAATGAGGTCTGGAAACTTGATAGCATCACGGACGAAAAATACCGGGGTGTTGTTTCCAACCATATCCCAGTTTCCTTCTTCGGTGTAAAATTTGACGGAAAAACCTCTCGGGTCTCGGTTGGTGTCCACGAAACCAGACTCTCCTGTAACGGAGGAGAATCGTGCAAAGATGGGAGTCCTCTTCCCGACCTCACTGAAAAGCTTCGCTTTGCAAAGGTCGCTGACGTCCCTGAACTCAGCAAGTCGATGGACACCGTTAGCCAGAAGGAAAATGAGAGCACGTAATCAATTCACTTCCATTCGCAATGACGCCCTGGCTCTGCGCGCTCACCGATCAAGAAATTCTACTTTTGTACGACCGAATAACTGAAACTGCTGCTTCAAATGCCCGTGGACTTGCGGAGATAAATCTGAAGTTCTTAAAACTTACTTGGTAACCTCGAAGTAGCCATGGGCACCATGACCTTTCGCGTGCACAACTCGTTCTGGTACACGTTCCCTATTGAAATGGGCCAACTTTTCGAGCAAATGTAGATCTTCTAGCAGTCCTGTTCCACTCTCGCCGATGGTCAGGCTGCATTGAAAATGACGTACAAGTTAGCAACAAAGGAAAATGGACCGAGTGTTCACCACATGAGTAAATGCAATCTTCCAGTGTTGTTATCTGAGACCGAATCATGGTCGGGAAATCTATGGAAGCTCCGAGAACGAATGGCTTCTCGAAGTATATGATGCAAAATGCAGAAATTCACGTGATTCTTTTACAACTTGCAAAACGAGGCGAAAAATGGTTACTAAAGAATTCTGCAGGGTCGAGAAACGAGCTACAGTTAAAGCTTATAATGTCCTCCTAGCTCTGATTTGCCTCACCTGTTGTTATCATCGCTGACAGGATGGCCAGCGAGGGTTGTGTACAAAGGCTTGCCGTGAATGCCAAGCCTGGGCTCCTCGCGGGCTCGAGGATTGTTCACACTGCCGTTCGTCTTGCTCTGACCGTTCCCGTTGCTGCTGTCCAGAGCGGCCCTGAGGCCATCAGTGAAGCTCTCGAGTCCGGGAGCCATAATTGGACGCAAGTCTGCGCTGAGTGAAGATCCAGTGAAAGTGGACTTGAGGGCAAATGATATCGGAGAAGCACTGCAGCCGCTGCAAGTGCCAGGATTCGGTTGTCTTTTGGACTTCGGATGGCAATTCGAAGAGCCGATTACAGATAGTGCGGACATACTCGAAACCGAGGTATAAGAAGCCATGGAGCCCCGAGCGTACTGCCAAGAGAGCAGATCTTCAGGCGCACAGTCGACGATCCAGCTGTGTACGAAATTCGACGGAGGAAGTAACAAGCGCAGCTTCTTTCGATCGCTTGCGAATCGGCATTGCGAGGAGGACTTGTATTCTCGAGCTCGCTGCGACGTCGAGCTCTGAATGGCTGCGCGAATGCCGTCGCGGGGCCCATGCACCACGTTACGGAGAGCCAAGTGGAAAAGGCAGCTCTTGTCAACAGGCCTGCACGCCCGCGTCCACAGGCACCCGCCACGTAGAGCGGACCTCCGCTTCAATCGCAGCTCTCATCCCCCGGAACGCGTGTCCCAACTCCGCCCAGCACACGCATGCAGCCCGGACCCGAAGGTCCTCAGTCCTCGACGACATCCGGCCGCGGCCGAACGTGGTGACCACTGAGTCGCCGACTGTGGGCCACCGGAACTACGTAGTTGCCTCGCCCTGCTCACTCCTGGTTCCTGCCTGACCACAGGGCCTCATCCCCAACCCCAAACTGCCAAGTGCGGACGATCTTCCAGCAGAAGGTGCAAAGCAGCCATCTGGATCGCAGCGACATTTGTACATGCAGTACTCTCGTGCTACGTTTGCAGTCGGATCAGCAGAGGAAGTAGTTCGTTAGCCACGTGATTTATTATGAATCGACCATGCGATTTATTGTAATTATAATTATTTTGTGTTACGGCGTCTGACGTTCTTTCGAGCACACTAGCCACGAATTTTGCTGATCGACAAGAAGAGGACGGAAGTGAAAGGCTGGAGTCTTCAAATATTTCCCAAACGTCCGTGCTGTTGTCGCAAAATAGATCCGTCTACAGAGGGAGGGAATGTTGGAACTATGAGATTCGTTGGCCGGCGATCTTTACGCTCCTTTCTGATCTAGTAGTCTATCGGGTATCTTTCTTTACCGACATGGAAAAGCAAATTTTCGGGAAGTGCCATGTTCATATCGACATCGTAAATGATTATGTACGATGTGCAGGAGCAGACAAAGATTTGATCCGTAGCCACAAATCCAGGTGCAGAATTTCGTGGACCTTGAAACTGATAATTTGTTCTTTAGATTTCCGAATTGTGGTAGCCTTTGAATCAGTCTTATGGAAGCACTGCTGAAAGACGCAAATTCTTAGTAAGCCGGAGAGCAACGAGGCATGCACAGCGTCAACACGAGGTAAAGAGAAACTTTGGAGCGTGAACATTTGAGATTTTTATTCCAGAAGAGCGCCAGCTTAAGGCCATCCTCTGAGTTGCACAGCTCCCGCTGAGGACGATGGCTCGTCCGACTGAACTAAAAGAATCCGTATGGTACAAACACCTTCGCTCGCTGAGGAGCTGAAGCAGTCTTACACGAGCTTGCCTCATCCTGTGGACACACGATGCTGCCCGTTCCAAATACAACTGTGAGCCCGGGGAAGCTCCGGCATGAATGATCGATAGAACTGAGGGGACCGTCGAGCATATCTCGAAGATCTTCGTTCTGCTGGTTCCGAGTACTGAGTATTGCTTTGTTGTGATCGGTGAAATCTCAGAGTCCCCGACCGAAATCAGCCACAGCCCCATGCTGAGAGGATACCTCGACCCAGGCCCATCGCAGGGAACATGCTGAATTTCCGACTCCAAAACTTGTTTCCCTATCGCTGCTCTCGTGTGATTTAAGTCCCTGCAGCATTGGTTGCGAGCCATGGCATATTGAGCTTTCTAGTGCAGTGCAGCAGCGGATCCATGGGCCGGGTTCGACCTCGTACGATTGACTTCGAGCCAATGATGAGCTCCGTGCGTGTTGTTAGGCCCCTGTTGGAATGAGTGGAGCTGCGAAAGCTTTAGCTTCTCGGAATGTGATAGAAATCGCATCGTCTCGGACAGTGCGGTTGTAGTATGGAATCCGATCGAGCTCCTGCAGCGGAAGAGACGAGTTCACCATGTCCTGGCACAACATCTGCCAGTGACTGAGCGCCCCGTGGTAGTGATGCATCCGAACGACCGAGGCGTTGAAGTCCACCCCGCCCTGCATGGGATTGCCGATTCTGTGCACGCCTGCAGCCGTGACCTTGCGGGGATTCACCACATACTTCCTCCTCCCGTGGTGCGTGAGGCACATCCAGGGGCTCTGCAGCTCATCGGCCTCGTCCTCCGACTGCACGCAGCTCGGCTCGTGATCGCGCCACAGCATCTGCTCCACCGTCCACTCCCACGGGGCACTCCCGGCCCTGCAGAGGCTAATGGACGTGGGCAAGCTCCCGAATGTCATCCACGGCTTGTCCTCGTTCTCGGCCAGCAAGCTCTGAATCGAATGCGGAGGAGAAACGTAGAGATACTCGTCGAAGTCGAAGAAGAAGACCCACTCGGCCAGAAATCGAGACCTGTGAAGGCAATCGTTGATGAAGAGCAGCCGATTGTGCCACCAGGCCGGGTACAAATCCTCGTCGAGCGTGTCGGTGATGGTGAGCAGCCCGGCGTCGATGAATTTCTGGAACAAGTAGCGATGGTTCTCGCGCAGACCCCCGACATTGTAGAACATGAAGTGCGCTTCGCCGCGCCAGAGGTGGTGGTGGTACACGAGCCATGACAGAACCCACTGTGCCCGGATGGTCCCGTGCATTGGAGGGCCGCAGAACGCATACTTGAATCGAGGCTGCGAGCGGACGATGCTCACGGCGCCTCCGTCCTCGGCCATGACGTCGATCATCTTCGAGCCTCCATGGGGAGGGTCGGCATCGAACCCCGTGGACACATTCAAGCGCAGCACTCCGCCTCGTCGATTCCTGCCGGCGTCGCCCTCGAAACTGCACCTCACGGTGATGGGCACGTACGCCATGTTGTGCTCGTCGAAGCTCAAGTAAGCCAAATTGGCCTCGGCGACGATGGTCGAATTGTTGCTCGCGTCACTGGGCTGCCACTCGCAATAATGAACCGGGCGGTCGCGCTCGCGCAGCACCACCGACGCGATTCCCACGACGTAGAAAGTCCGCATCGATTTTCTGTACGCGCTGTACAGAACGAACGGATGGTGCGCGTAGCTCGAGGGTTTCAAGCTCCTCGCCCCGCTGCCATACGAATCCTCTTTGCGTGAAATCGGTGAGCTCGACGATGCCCCCCGCCTGCTGCTGCTGCTGCTGTCGACTTCGAAGCCCGAGAAGATGATGGCTGCCTCTTTGCACGACTTGAAATCCAAAATCGTTAGCACGGTGAAGAATATCGGCACTTGCAGGAGCAGAGTGAGCACGACCGATCGCGCACTGAGGCGACACCAATCCTTCCGCGCCATGGGCTCTAATACTCTTCCGCTACCGCACGAGCTCCACCTTCATGTCGAGAATTGCCCGCGCTCTCCTGACGTCTGCCCTCCCTCGCGCTCCCGTTCCCTCTCCTTCGTTCGAATGCGCCGGCATGTCACACGTCAAGGCGGTCGCAGTCGCAGTCACTCATCGATTTCCCAATTTCAAAATGCGAGCGTCCGGCCTCCTCGGACATGTCGCCATCCTGACGATGACGCACAAATGATCCGGACAGCGAGAAGCAAGTGTCGCAACCGATTGTGGAGTATGATCCTCGGAGCACTAAAGTGGGGCAGGAGAGAATCCTAGGGCAATTCGAGGGGCAGTGCGCATCGCCGCACTACCCGCGAGAAATCAGTACCTTGCGCAACCGCGGATGATCGTCATCTTTCGGTGCAAGCGCCGGCAGTGAAACAACGAATGAATGAATGAACGAACGAAAGCGCGTGCAGCAGTTTCAAGAAGCAAGGCGCAGCGCAAAGAACGCGATCATGTCAACGAGAGGGGAACGAACGAAGCAGTTCGAAACTTGCGCGAAGCACGAAATCAATGCGCGCGCGATCTCCATTCGCACGCACTAGCTCGCGCTCGAAACAATCCGAAGTCCCAAGGCCACGTACAATTCAACGAAACAAGGACGAGCCATGTTCCAGATCCCCTTCGACCTCGGCAGGACAATGATCACGGCCAACTGTAATAACCCACCCCGAAGCACCAACCAACCCTGCGCTCAGCCAGAGACACAGAGCGAGAAATTTCCCAACGGAGAAAGCAGCCGGTCGGGGAAAGGGCGGCGTTGCAGGCGATTTGCACGAGGCTCCAATTCACACGAGGCAGCACGAAAGCCTTACCGAACCCGACATTCATCCGCATCAATCGTCGCTCTGCCGCGACGAGCACAAACAGTTGCCCCCCCTCCTCGCACATCATCGCCTCACTCGCCCGCAACCGCATTCCGTCTCTATCTTCCAACCTAAAGTAGCCCCTTCGCGCGCAATCTTGCGCACTCCGAGTCTCCGATGCTGCGCTCGCTCGCCGCTGAATCTCTGATTTCTGCAGCGAGCCCAGCTATGCTGCTGCTCAGCACTTGCCCAATTCCTCCAATGCCCTTCCCCCGACATTCAAACCTTCGCCGAAAATTACCGACAAGAGAAGCCAGGACCGAAAATTGCGTGAAAATTACATCCGAATGAAATCGATCTCCAAAAGTGCTGTCACATGCACCCAAATGTCCACGACAAATCACACAGAACCCTGCGGTGGCTTTCGGAAGAACATTGTGAATGTTAAATTACTCCGAGATTCAGTGTCCATGACATGTTTCGCTCCGCCGACTACACCGTACCGGAAAGTAACTCGACCCGCGGGTTTGATGACTCCCGCCCTATGGTACCAGGTACTGTACATGAGGTTCGTACCCAGCGCTGCACGGTACAAGAGACTCTTTCTTCTCTCGGCACGATGGCAGTAAGCCACGTTGGTCATAATTTGAATTGCGGGCCCGGTGCTGACTGTACCGGCACTGGGGAGTCCCTTTCCAAGTCCGGCAGCGACAGTTGCCGACGACCTGGAACCCGGAACCAGGTTCGTGTTGGTATCTTGCTGGAAAGCGAGTGCATGGTGTGACCGGTGGTGTCGGTATCGGAGAGACCTGCCGTCATAGACATCGCGGCCATGTCAGAAAAGGCGACTGCTGCATCTGTAACTGTAACCGCATAGTCACCTCCGGTGCTCTGCAGAGAGCCCATAAAATGCATACCCCAAGTGTGAAACCGGTGCAGATGAAATCAGTCGTGCTCTATATATTCCTCCGTGTGTGGTGGTGGTTTTGATTATATCCTTCTGCTTATCAGCAAGATTTTCAAAGATCCACATGTCCAAACCCAGCACCAATTTTTTTCTACTAATTTTCATCGCTTGAGTTTGACTTATACCATCTTGACTAAGAATAATAAAACTTTGATCATTATGATTTCATGGATACATTCTCTATCTTGGTATTTACTTGATGGTACACCATTGGATATTTTAAACTTAGTTTTATCCAATAAAACTCCACCCAAGCATGTTTTAGTATCACCAAAAGGTGCATGCAGCGGAACTTTGTCGTAATGATATTCTTCCGCAATTAGTTTCTTCGTGTGTGTGCAAACTTTATGCACTTACAACATTGAATAGGTGGGAAAGTCCACACTCAAGACTTTTCGTGTAATGAATTGCCAAATTAGTGCAATGGCCGGCACGCATGTCCACAATACACTCGCAAAGTACTTATCATTGCAAACCAGATTGATAACCAATCCTCGAGCCAAGTGTATTCCACAAAGATGACCCACCACACATCATCCGAAGCGATATACCTTTGTAGTGATAGATACAGGGCAATAAAAAAGCAAAGGATGGAGTCAATTCAACAATTTAGATTCTAATGGAGTCACATCCAATAAGTTCCTCATTATCTATCCTTGAGTGGAAAACTTGAAATCTAGATTTTTCATCAAGCCACTTGGATTTTACTCATAAAGAGCATGGTCACACAACCATGGAGAGTTCAAGCTTTTGGGAGATGGAGGAAGTAGTATGTATGTTACTTTTGTGCAAGAGTGTGACATCTGAATATTAATACATAATAAAAAGCAATACAACACACATATGGAAAGCTATTATGTCAATGAAAAGCAAACCGCAATCAAACTTCTGAGTAAAGTTTAGTACATATCACTTTGTCATTCATAAAAACGTTATTACAGATAATTACATAAAACAGTTATTGAATTTCTTATCATGAATATACGGTCTTTTGGGGTATGGAGTATGTCACAAACCCACATGCATCTTTACATCATCGACCCTTACTTCCTTCCCTTAAACCCATTTTAGTCGAGAAATAGGCCAAAACCTAAAATTCATCACAAACTGTTATCTACATAAATAAGTATAGAACGACATACAAAAAGTGGATGAGGGAAAACAAAAAAAATGGACTATCAGTCGGTCAGAGCAGCAAGAGGGAGGCATTGAACCAGTTCAGGTTAAAGGTTGCGTTGTGTGGAAGAGTGCGAGAGTGCTTCTATAGATCGGACTTTCTACCTAAATTGCCTTTGTAACAGGCTTTCTGCTCTGTCTCAAGTAGCTATCACAACACAAACGTATTAACACAGTCCTTACAAATTACCACTCTCCAAGAGAAATCGGTACAACCTATCCGCGTTAAGAATTGCTTTCAGTTTGCTGTCAATATCTGCTATACTGATATATATCAGTATAGTAGATATACACTTCTAATCATTTTGGAAGTTGTAATTTGTAAGGACTGTGTTAGTATGTTTGTGTTGTGATACTGTATACATTTGAGATGGAGGAGAAAGCGGGTTACAAAGACAATAGTTGAGGTAAAAATTCTGTAGATACTATATCAAGTTTCATATTTTTGCTCTTTTCAATACCACTGAGACACTAACTGAATATTGTACTTGGATGGATGAAGGTTTCGTACACTCGAATTCTCGTTGAAATGAGCAGGAACTTTCTCTGAAGGAATTTTGTGCAGCTGACAGACCATTGTGGGGACATCTCACATTCTACAATCGCAGTTCTCGGGTGATCGCTATTTGCGGGAGGGACGGCGGTTGGGACGCAGGCCATACTTTTCGACTGGTTGGAAGTCGATGTAATCTCGACTTTCAACTAGTCGAATAGTATGGCCACATTAATACAATTCCAGAGTACAATGTACTATACCACAAATTAATCGATTCTGCTGGATTTGCTGTGCGCTTAGGGTTTGCCCAATCAACGTCAAGATTTTGATTTGACCTCAGTGCCAAATATATTAGGGTGCATGACGATCTCGAAGTACGGATACTGCGCGTGATTGGTCCAGCCTTCTCGGGACCACGTGGGCACACTTCCGAATCATAATCACATGGACTTGCGGCCAGTGGCAACTACGGGGTACTGTCGCCACTTTTTTGTACTTGTATTACTGAAGTTGCTAGAGTAAAATTCTATAGCCAAAAGTGAGCCAAATAATAATAGTCCTCAACAACATTTTCTCATTTGCCAACTCCACGATCCATGGCACAGTACGTGATGGTTTTTATACACCTCATGTTAAATATACGACCCTCCAAAGATCAAGTGAATACATTAAAAAGTCAAAGAGTAAATGTCTATATGTCAATTTAGATTTGGATCTCTCTTTATAGAAAAAACTTTTATGTCAAAATTCAACTTCAGTTAAGTAGAACACACTTATACATGCCTGCAGTTTGCTCATTGGTGGATGCTAAACCTCCCATTACATTTGAAAAAATCCATAATACTCGGCTTTGATGAAGATACCTCGACAATAACTCTAGATGTAGTTTATTTTTAGCTCGCCATTTGAGAGTAAAAGTATTATGGTGTCTGCGTGATCTTTGGCTATAGTATACCATGCAATTATTGCATCGGAGCTACAACTCTAATAGGTATTGCAAGAATCAGAAAGAAGTCGAATACACTTGTTTGAGTCCAAGATCCCTACAGAGTGAAAGATCATTGGTCACCGCACGCCGTTTCAATCCGTATTATGAGAATGTTTTGTGTAATCATCTTTATTTAGTTAGAACCAAAGTAAATATTACTTAAGATAAAATCATAGTTATTTAATCGTACACTAATCATAGCTTCCAAGTCAGCTATCCGAATAAGTGTGTTAGTTGATAATGTCTCATAAATAGTGTTGAAATAAGGATTGAGTGTGGTAATTGCAAGCGTCACGTTAACGATCAGTGTACTTGTTAGGATTATCTACCATGTTATACACTCACTAGAATTGGAATGGATGGTGGTGATAGATCTAATCTTGTTGTTCTTGTTGGTTAGAGATATATAAGGGAGAGTATAACCATTGTTGATATGTCTCATGTTCAAAGTTTATGTTTTCATTTTCAAATGAACTTCTCTCTAAATCCTAGTGTTACAACTTGGAATCTATGTTGACGAGATTGTGAATGATTTTTTGATACTGTTTTAGACGTCTTTAGAGTTCTTACTTCCGGTATCGCACAATCATAGAAGCATTTTGATATAAGTAACTCGCACTAACTTCAAGATGGGTACTCAATCCCGGTCGCTGATTCCTTTCCATCGAACTTCACAATCTGTACATAAATTGTCTTGTTCGCACTCGGATTATGATCTGAAAGCATGTTAAATCCATGTTCAAATATTTGGCACCCTTTGCTCGTCTTACTTTTGATCTAAGCCGATGGACATGGAGTATCGGTGAATCACTCTACGCCTACATGGCTAGCCGTGGCCACCATTGGCGTCATCCGCAACAAACACATAACTTGTCTATTAGTGTGAAGTGTAGAGTATAAGTGCATGCAAACTTTGTGTCCAATTGGATCGAGGTTTGAATTCCTGGCCGCCCCCGCAAGGAAGCGGCATCCTTGTGGAGCTTCTACCATCGTGCAATTGTCATCTACCAGGGGCAACTTGTTGCTCATTCAACAATGTTTGAGAACTATAGTTGTTGCAATCAAGGAGTTCCCGAATCATTGATTCATGGTTTTTTTTATTGTGGAACCGCTCGGGACACATGGACTTTTGCATGGACTATATTGTCTTTTTGATATCTTTGTGAACACGATGCCTTGAAGTCTCTTGACATGGCACCAATGTATTCTTGGGGCGGAGGTGTCTGCTACTCTCCGGCAAGGTACCAATACCAGCTCGATCATGCGCGGTTCAGTCATGTGGATAATCTTGTTAAGACAAAATGCGTGCATATTCAAGAATATACTATGGTACATCGCTCAATTAGAGCGTGCGTTGTGAAATGTGACGGTGTATCTGGCCAAAATGGGATGGTTGCGATTTCAATTGCTAGAGATACAACAATTTGCTGCAATTCTTAGTGCAGGCAAAAAGTTTCCGAGCAAATGGACTCAAAATGATATTATCTTCATATTTCAAAGTAATAAGGTTAGATGGATGCATACACATCTAATTAGAACTATGTTCATCTAGGTAGTTTTTGTTGGTTTTATCATGTAGTTAGAAACTAAAATTTTTGTTATTCTATTATCACTTAATTGTGTTTTTTTGTCTGAGTCAAATCGTGAAAATTCCACTGTAAAAAAGGTACAATACACACACTGCTGCAGAACCGATAAAAGATAACCTGACTAGCAAAATTTAAGTTTTTAACTACATGATAAAACCAACAAAAACTACCTAGATGAACATAGTTCTAACAAGATGTGTAATAGCAATTTTGTTCATTTATTTATATTTATTATTTAAAAATATTTTCATAAGTATAATTATTGTTAGCAAGGATTATAAACAACATGTCAATTTTTAATGCTGAATTTGACATGTTAAATTTATTGAATCCAGTACAATTTGTTTGGTTTGATTTAAATTTGTTAATAGTCTATGTATGTCACATCGAAGAGTCATAATCGAATTTATCATAAGTGATAATACTTATGATAAATCGTTTACGAATACTGAATGATTACTTTTGAATAATGAAGTTAGGGGAGATTCATGGAGTACTGCCTGTATAGATTATGTGAAATCGAACTTGTGACTTTTTATGAATATTCACTAACTCGCATCGCTGTTTGAGAACTTGTTAATGAAATATATACATCAATTGTTATAGATATCTAGTAGAGGTAAAACGTGTTCCATCTTATTCACTGTTATAAATTGAGGAAAATACTTGATGGTACCCCAAGGAAATGGAACAAATTTGATGGTACCCAACAGGTTTCATTTTAGCCGATTGATCTTGGTCGGTAGTGTAGCCCACCGTAAGCAATGTTCCAATACAATCTGGGTATAGTTTTGGGTAGAAACTCTTGGCATTTTTTTTATGAAGTTATGGTAAGACCCTAGCCCACCGTAACCAATGTTCCAATACAATATAGGTATAGTTTTGGGTAGAAACTCTTTTACACTTTTTTAATGAAGTTATGGCAAGACCCTATTGGAGTACTTAAGCATCATGGTGACTTTCTCTTTCTTAGACACACTACGAAATTACTCTCACCAGTAGTGGCAAACACTTTCCACATTACATCGCACATTATAAGAACTTTTATTGGAACATGATAGACCTTGCTGTCTAGTGGGGTAACATCGGGTAAAACGAAATATATTGGGTCCTATCAAATAATTATCTCGTTAGGAGTTTATGGATACTTTTCATTTCAAAAATAATAAATATCTGAAGTAATACTTGAGTGACAATAATACTTAAATAATGGTATTGTAATTTGTATGGTAGTTTGTGAGGTCAACTATTCGATATATAACATGCATAGGACTAAGAATAGATTTTCACTTTGATAACACATGTAAAATGCTCACATTCTATACTCTTGAAAGAAATAAGTAAGATATTTTCACTTCTCACAGGGCTGACTACGTTTAAATGTCATCATTTTACTAAGCAAGATCATGAGTGCACAATTCACATAAGTTGTCAAATGCATCGATATGCGGAAGGTTACTGGGTTTCTACGTTAAATGTGATAATGTGAGCATATAGCAGGCTATGTGCTACGAAAGAAGCAGAACTTAACAATAACTGTTGTTTTTTGTTCATCGCCTGGGCTTGAGACTACTAATTTATAAATGTCTTTTTACATAAACGACAATATAAATATTTAAATAAACAATTTAATAAAAGGAGAGACATCGTGACACGGCTGGACACAAGATAAACAAATCTTTCATTAGCTGGAAAAAATGTGCGTGAAGTGGCATGGCAGTTGTCTATCTTAAAATCCGCAACTAAAAGTTCAAAAATGTGTGACGTTGTGTGCACTCACATGAAAAAGGTCGATGGCGATGTCCAACCAGCTATTTCCGCAATTCCTTTCTCTTGCATTCTTCTTCTGGGAGTTAAAACTCAAATTTGTCCTAGGTCTAAAAGAAGGCAGCGGAGGCACTGGCGAATTACAACGGACAGCTGCAACAATGGAAATATGGTGTCAATGTGCTAGTCAACAATATTTTACCAGTCGACAAAGCCTCAAGTCGCAGATGCGGGAACTGTTAGGACAAGGAGCTGCGAAGGAGCAGAGGGCGGGGTTGCTATCCAATCAAGTTAAAGTAACCACAAAGAAAGAAGAAGCGCGTTAAACTTTGGGAGCTGCGAGCGATGAGGTGACGATAGCCCGAGGCGCGTCTCCTTCCGCGCTTCTTCATCTTATTCTGAACCATCGTCGGCTTCTGGCCTTACTTCGTCCATTATCCCTTTTGTGGGCTTCAATCGCGACATGCTCGAGTGTGCAACGCGGGATCGGTCGCTCTATCGATCCGGTGTCCGCCCGGATGTTTCTGGATATGAGTGCTTGCAAAGATGTCGAATGATTCCCAGGTGTAAAGCTGACCGAGGCTTTAATTCGGTCGGAGGAGGTTCGTTTTGATTTTAGGAACAGCAGAGGAAGAACGTGCTGGAATGTAAATTACCACGCGCTGTGATGGAAATTTGTAGTTTGCAATTGAACTGGCGCAGAGAGGGTCGACTGATTTGTGTGTCCGCCGCGGAGTACCTGATTGGGGAAGCGTGCTGTGTTTAAGCATCCTTCTCCTTCTGTGACGTAGCGGAAGAGGAAATTCGGAAGCGAGGGATATTGCGACAGGTTTTTGGATTGAAGTTAGAGTTATGGTGAATCTTACAATTCGACTGAATGTCAAAGGCTCTGGAGGAGAAAGTTCTACGCCCACTAAGACAGCTGTTGAAGGCCCCGGCACGCCTCAACTTGTGTGTGGAGGGCACTTGATTCAGACAGAGCTGCCCACGGCTTCAGGCTTGGGGTTGAGCTCTGATCTGGCTGCTGCCACGGCACCCTCCAGTGGTTATCTCGGTTACAGAGTGCGTCGAACCGCTGGAGATAAAGTGCACTTCTGCGTCCGTTGTCATTTCCCAATTGCGATCTACGGTCGTCTTGTGAGTGCCAAATGCTATTCTACTCAAATTTTTAAGTGATTAGTTCATCAGTCGAGGAATATTGACTCCAAAGCATGTGCTAAGGAAGCAATTTTATGCTTCAGATGTCGGGACAGAGTTTTCGGATCAATGGCAAAGCTCAGTTTGCGGGGGCATGTTTTAGTACTTGGGATTTTACCAACTCTTTGAGATACTGAGATCGCGCTGAAATACCACAGTCAATCGCTCTGACCGTGCTTACATCGGGTTGATCTCTGATTTTGTGACTGGTCCTCATGTATTCGCTAACACAGCCTCAGAAAATGTGCATTTATTTTAGTCATGCCCTCTAGTTAGGTCGACGGTAATCCTGTTTTGTAATGCCTTTATCGCAAGGTTTGAAGCTGTAAGTCTCCTACGTAGACTCATATGTCACCACCACCTAACACCATGGTCGAGCTCAAGAAAGACTTCAACCACCTCTGGAAGTGTCAGAGCTCACATTGACAGTTTTCGCGCTGGTTATCATGAGGCGTGGGTGCAATTTGGAGTTGATCTCTATTACCTCACTCTTAGCTCCAGCTTCTGGCCCAAAGAAAGTTTTTGGAGGGTTTCTCTACCTGAACACTACATTCGTGTGGACACCGCAAGCTGGAAAGAGGGAGGAATTTGTAACAGAAAGAGTCCTCTGCTTTATTTCAACTTAGCTGGAGGAAGGCATAAAGACAAATACTTTTAGTTCGATAAATCTATTGAAATTTGGTTATCTGTGACGCGAAAAGGTTATTCCCTATGTGGAGGAGATCTTCAGATGACGGCTGTTGCCAGTTACAGTTCAGTTATCTGAACGATTTAAGTATGATCAATTGGAGCTTGAGAAGGTTATAAGATCATTTGGGGTCGAAGCCATAGATCTGCCTATTATTCTAGTCGAAGAAACTAGGCATCTTGGGATTGAAGATGACGTTTTTCTGCTTCGATTAAAATATTGTGAGACAGTATTCAGTTATCCTTGTTTCAAGTTTGTATTCAAGGAACTGAACGGACTTAATTTTCTACAAATGATTCTTGAAAAGAAAGCGAACTGAGGAAAAACTCAGAAAAACTCATGAGTGGCTTAGAATTCGAAGCTTGAAGGGTTCAGTTTGGAAGCTGCTTCTTGAAGGTTGCTCCATTTCCAAGTGACCTTAGCTGTCATTCTACCGCTCTTGAGCAAACGCGGCATCGCTGCAGTAGGTAAGGATTCAAGCTAGAACAATGACCAGGTGCTTCATAGATTCCAGGACTGAGAAATATTTCTGAAGAACGTTTGAAGCTGGAGAGAGGAGTTGTTTTGTTCGAGCCCTTCATTATCGGCTTACGCGTCCGTAATCATATACTTCAAGTGCAGGACATATAGCCACTATGTAGGTACTAGTGTTCCTTCGGTTCATACCGTTTCTTGACAGTTTGATAACACACAAAGTGATCATATCTCACTGATCTTCAGTGCGGAAGAAAAGGTTTATACATCTTTGTCAACAAGGATGTTGTAGCTCGAGATTTGTAACATTTCGTTAAATTCGAGCTTTTTTGGTGGACTCCGTTTGTCTGCTGCAAAATTCTCGTCACCCTGGCTTTTTGTTGGACGGATTTTCTGTGCATCAGGCGCATTTGTTGGTAGCTTGACGGTTCGGAAAGAAGGGAGTGAGGGTTGGTTTATTCGAGTATGCCAATCATTCAGATCAAATACTATACTGACAGGTGTGCAAATATTTGTCTGCAGGACCCGTGTGAGCATGTCTTCTGCCTAATATGTGCGAAGAAGGATGCAAACTGTTTCTTGTAAGTTTGAAAAATTCCATCTTTTCGTTTTTTCTGCAGATGTCATTTGTTAATCATCCTCCAGTTCAATTTACTCATACCAGATGTGCCTCATCGCTGGCAGCTAAGCGAAGCAGTTTCATTACCTATTTTGATCTAGTCTGATTTGAAATGCGTTGTAGTTATTTAGTATGTTTTAAGTGGGAAGGACTTTCGCAGACACATGAGTTGATCGACGGGGAAGAGCAGGTGCATTGGAACCCGCACAAGAATTAAGGGCATTGTAGGACACAAGAGGGAAAGTTTCCCCTGTATTTTATCTTTTCTTATAAAAAAATATACCTACATGCATAGCTTGCCAGTGTCGATGGTACCATCCGTACGTTATGTTTGCAGTCCCAACTTATTTTTCTCTTATTTCTTTCCTCGACAGAGCTTCACTCCGGTTTTCTTTTCGGGGCTCTGGCCTATTTGTGGTCATGGCTCTAGGAGGTGCTTAGATAGTAGGATTGCCTTGTTTGACAACCATGGGTGGAGTGAATGATCCTTATACACGAAGGTTGCTGCGGTGGATCTTTTAATCCTTTGGTGATTTTACGGTTCTCATCTGTTATATCATATTTATGCAGGTGCGAGGAAAGGGTTTTGCGCATTCAAAAGTTGGAGGTTTTGGAAGGAATTTTTGTATGCGGAGCCGCTGGGTGTCTGCGCTCTTTCCTGGCAAAGAACGAGTTTGAGTGGCATGTAAGAGAGGTTCATAGTCATCTACTGTCTTCCAGAGAGGCACCCCCCGGTAAGTCGCTTCTTGAAGCACCGCACCCGAGCCAGTCCTTAGGTCACAATCAAAATGCCCCAACACCGTCTCCATCTCAATCACAGCCCCATTCTCCGTCTCAGAGCAGAATGGTCGAGCCCCCTACTTTTGGATCAAATTCAAATTTGTTACTAACCGAGACATCACCGGTGCCCGAGAAGACAACGAAGCAGCACTCTAGCAGCTCTGGTCCTTCAGGGGACCAATCAGAGCCTCCTTCGAAACGGAAAAAGTTGGAGCTCCAACTCAATGCTGGGTTACGTGAGCGAGAACGGGAGAAGGGGAGAGAGAGGGATGATCATGGAAAAGGTCATGACGACAGAGACAGAGACGATGGACACAGAGTTAGAGAAAGGGAGCACTCCCAGAAGGAAAGAGATCACACCCATAGGAAGAGAGAAAGGGGCAATCAGGAGAGAGACAGAGACCGTGAGAAAGATAGGGATAGAGACCAGGAGAGGGAATTCCAAAATCAATTCCAAAGAGAAAGAGAAAGAGAGCAATGGGAGCAGCAACATGTTCATCAACAACAGCAGGGCCCTGGTCCGCATTATCAGTTACCACCACCCCCACCACCTCCTCCTCCTCCTCCACCACCTCTGCAGCCAAATGCACACCAACCTGAGAGATTGGTACAGGTTCCGCTATCGCAGCAAGGAGTTGCACCCAATTCTTTCCCTCCCCAGGGTTTTCCTCCGTACCACGTCCAGCAACAACAAGAAAATCGTGGTACTCCCCGCTTTGAGTCACCAAGACATGGCCCATTCATGGATCCTCGGATGACTGTACCGCCTGATTATCAAGAGACGAGTGTGCGGGCTAGACATCCCCAACAGGAAGGCGACCGAGCAAGGAACATGCCTCCTCAACAACAAGAAGGGTATAGACCTCCAATGGATAACAGACAGGCTTTAATGGTTCCTCATTATCATGGAGATTATGGAGGACCGATGGGCATGCCAATGGGTCCTCCATCTATGCAGGGAATGGTAAGATTTCAAGACGGTGCTCATGGTGGAGGTCACCTACCTCTTCCAAAACGTGGAAACTTTGGACCATCCGTGGAGTCTGCCATGGGACATCCTGCACATGCGTTTGTATGGGGAGCTCCTGCTAATTACGCTGCTGCCCCTGGTCACCCTCCATTCATGAATTGGCAACCCCCTCAATAATCACATATTCTAGGCCATATTGCCCTTCGACGAAACTCGGCTTTCAGTCAAAGTTTCTTGGAGTGAAATTTTGTGTTACTCTGAATATGTAGTTGAATGTGTATGCACTGTGATTGTCTGTCGGGTACTCCACATGCTTAATAGTAGGTATAGAGAACAAACGCGGTAGAATCAGAACTTGAGTGCTGTTTCTCATCCCGCTGTCGTCTAAATTTGCACAAGTTCATTAGGTGTCAACAGCACGTGTAGTAGTCCTCCTTCCTCCGATACTGTGTCTTGAAGAGGCTTTCATCTTTGCAGATGTTTGAGTGATTTTCTGGCCATGGTTACCCTACCCTGCTACTTCGAAAGAGTTTTGCTACGGTTGCTGGAAGGTGAATATGGTCGTTGAATCTTACTCTGTCCTGGTGATTCATGTCGAGAAATTGTAGACTATGTCTGGGGTTGATGTCAACCGTCTATGAGTGGAAATCCTTTTGACTGGGTTCTGATCTTTCAGAAAAACACGGTGAAATCCTCTCAGTTCCATTGACCAATTCTTTCTAGATCTCTAGAACAGCGTTGTTTATAATGTGGACTTATTGAGATTGAGCTTATCTCTGAGAAGCTGGTCAACCTCCTACAAATCTGAAATTTGACATGGAAATCAGCGTTGGTTCATTGTCAGCTGATCACGTTGTTGTGAAGTTTTTAAACAGCGGACTTTGTCGAGTTGATCGCTCGGCAGCAACTCTTTACAGGGTTGCAGATTGTTGATAAGCTCTTCATGTACGGCTGAGAAAGTGCGTACCTGTACACTCGGTCAACTACTGCGTGACGTAGATATCACTCCATATGCCAAGTTGTATTATTTGGGGCTTCAGATTCCAGGTGTATTATTATGAGTCGTGCGTTTCTGGAGTATCGAATTTTTGTACCAGTGACTGGACGAGTTAGAAGCTGCCTTGGATCTTCAGTCGGTAAACGAAAAATGCATATTTAAAGCTCGACTTCAGATGACGGTTAGTAAATACCATTTGTAAATGTAGTTTTTATAAAATTAAGTCATCCAGAGATGTATACATCTCAGCTTTTGCTAGAATTTGCTGAACATGAGAAACTGGATTTATAGCAGTGATATGATGTGGTCAGATCTTATGAGCATGTGACAGTCAGCAAGACAGATTCGAGGTGATTTTTTCGGGGAAGTCTGATACTTGATATCCGGAAAGCGTGGGGTCCTAGAATGTGATGATAGTGAATGGCAATATTTCAATGCGTAAACGTTCTCCGTACCTGTATAGTGGAAAAAGAATGTAATGGAGTGAGGGCAGAGCACTGGCTGCTAAAGAGCGGATATTCACCTTTGCTTTCATGAAAGTATCTATAGAGAGGAACGGCATTGGCCACTGCACTTTCGTGAGTCCAATACATACAAACAGGAAGCTGAATGAGTTCTGTGCAAAGCTTCAAGAAACAACGTGGCGTATCGCAAAGTGGGGTTCTATTATAGTGAAATCATGTGTAACCGTCCAGAAGCTGGGACACAGTAACCTCCCGTTGCTAATAAGATTTCTGGGGAGGTTCCGAACTTACTGTGAAGCGAATGGGATAGCCCAATCCACAGTGCCAGGCCAGGTGGAGCCACGGATTCTGTCAGAAGGGAAGAAGCTCTAGTCCCACTGCTTATTGAGGAGAGCTTCGTGATTAATATTCTTGTATCGTTGTAAAGCAGACTGCTGCACGAGAGGGTAGACCAAAAATTAACAAAACCTTGTAATCGAGATCCGCATAATATAATGTCAACACCGTACTACCAGAAGTTTTTTAAACCTACGAGGAATTTGCTCAATAGCTGAGCAGTGAGTGCATCGTGAAGTGCCACAGCGAAAGTCTTGCTCGATACGCACATTAGTAGGATCAAGTGTACTCAATAACTCGTCCTTCGCTACACTGTACATGTACTTCTTACATTGGAGGAATGCCGAAGATTTACCATGAAAGATATGAAGAAACAAATCTCGTGCACGATTACACTTCCTACATTTGGACTAGAGAGGATATAAAAGAGAGATCGGAAGACCCGTACATGGATCAGACGAGACGGGTAACGTTTCCCACTATGCTTCGCTCGATACGACAAATTTGTGAACCCACCATTCACTGAGCCGAGTCAGGACTAGCAGCGAACATCTTCCTTCCCCCTCTCTCTCTCATGCTAAACTCGTCTAGTCTCAAACGCAGTTTTGTGAGAAGTGTAAAGCTGCAGCTTCCGACGTGGCGTAGCAGGGAAATGTCTCGGACTACAACAGCCATGCCTCGATAATCTTCAGCATCTTAAAAAACATGTTAAAAAGCATAATCAGCTCGAGGGTTTGGGGTTGGGTTACTTTGAAATCCATGAGTTCATTGAAAAATTATCAGATCTACACAAATTTGGGAATTATCTCATGAAATCTGGACGAGACAGACACGGTGCCGTAGAGTGCACTCCGTGGGGTCAAACATGGTTGCTTCCCCAGTAGATTCGTCGTCGCGTTTGCTTAAGCCTCAGGCTTCGCGTTTGTCAAAGAACGAAGTCTGGGTTTCCTTCCCAGTTGCAAAAGATTCGCTCTCGCGACTGGGAATATTAGGAATTAACTTGTGTCTCCTTTAGGGTTATATAGGTTCACTTGGGCACCCTGATTATCCGACTAGGGTTTTGAGCAGCGTTCCTCCGTCAGATCGGGGGATCGGACGGTGCGGATTGTACACATACTGAATGAAGCGCCGCTGCGAAGTGAAATGCTCCCTCTCTCTCAGAACTTTCTCTCTTCCCCGCGAGGGTATTGATGTTCCATAGCCGAAAGCTTTCCTCCTTTCTCACCCTCTTCGTTCGCAGGGTTGGCAACCATGGTGTCTCTCAAGCTGCAGAAGCGGCTAGCTGCCAGCGTACTCAAGTGCGGGCAACGCAAAGTGTGGTTGGATCCCAATGAAGTCAATGAAATTTCTATGGCCAATTCCCGTAAGTTGTTCAACTGACAGGATCCGATTTTTTCTGTGATACTGCGAAATTGCGATTTTGCCTCATAGCAATGTGCCATAGTTTTTAGGGATCGAGTCAGTGAATTATAATGTGTTATCAGTCACGATGGCTGTGAGAGCTCCGGAGGAATGTGGACATGCGACTGCTCCCTGATGCAATTCTTGATATGCTGGATAAGAGAAGTACGTGATTGTGAAGTGCAAATTTCATCGGTCTTGCAGGACAAAACATCAGGAAGTTGGTCAAGGATGGTTTCGTAATCAGGAAGCCCCAGAAGATTCACTCCCGAGCCCGTGCTCGACGTGCTTTGGAGGCCAAGAGGAAAGGTCGTCACTCCGGATACGGTACGTTTGACAACGTCTCTTAAATCTCTTTCCAGCGTTTGCTCTCTTTGTTCTCTTAAATCCTACTCTGTAATTCACGGTCACTGTCCGTTAATTATCCGACGAGCATTGAATATCCATACTCCGGCTGCAGGAAAGAGACGTGGAACCAGGGAGGCTAGGTTGCCAACTAAGGTTTTGTGGCTCAGACGTATGCGCGTGCTCCGACGCCTTCTCAGGAAGTATCGCGATGCTAAGAAGATTGACAAGCACATGTATCACGATATGTACATGAAGGTTAAGGGTAATGTCTTTAAGAACAAGCGAGTGTTGATGGAAAGTATTCACAAGTCGAAGGCTGAGAAGGCTCGTGAGAAGAGTTTGTCCGACCAGTTCGAGGCCAGGCGTGCTAAGAACAAGGCTACTCGCGAGCGCAAGATCGCCAGAAGGGAGGAGCGATTGGCCCAGGGTATCTCTGCGACCCCCGCCCCTACCTCGGAAACTGCCGCTCCAGAAGTTCCTAAGAAGGCGAAGAAGTGATGAAGACGCTTACACTGTGGATCATATGTGTAAGCACGACTTTTAGCTTTGTGGTTGAGTTTGGGACGGATTATAGAACCAGTAGCAGGAGTGTCTACCCCATTTTTCAGCCGCTACCTCTAAGTCACGTCCTTTTCACGTCGGCTTTGTCTTCCTCTCAGAAAATCAGCAAGCTGTTTTGCGGACCCATCTCAGAATCCGAATTTCCACATTATCGTTTGAGTTTCTGGTCGTCGCCAAACATGTACAGCTTTTCATACTGCAACAGGTTCATGCATGAAATTACAAATCGCGATTGTTTCGCCGATTTATTTTTAGCACTGTCGCGTGAAGCACCCGAAATGCAGGATCATACTCTTCAACATTTGGATTGATAGACAGAAATCCTGTAGCATTTTTGCAGATTCATAATTTGGGTGTGCATTCACCTTGCTTATGCCATTCTTGTGCAGTGCATATTTTCTGGTTTTGGATGTGTGGATTTTCTGATATATGGATGAATGTTGATAACTGCAATCAGCTTTAGATGGTCTGTTGACCGCTAGGGACTCGCATTGTAGAGGGCATGGTACACAAAGATGGAGGGTAGAGTCTTGAGACGTGTTTCTCAAAGCTTGTGTCTAAACCTTCGTGGTTGCTTTCAATGTGGCATTTAGCTTGCCTAAGAATCCAACTTGAATGAAATTAGGTCATCAAATTTGTCGGTCTAGGTAAGACTTTCAGCGATACCCATGCTATTCTTTCGGCTCTGAATGGACTGGACTATCAGCTCGCTAGATCTTTGAAGATCCATGGATTGCGGATCCGTGTGGAATCACAATTCCACAATAGAACTCGTCTGGATATGTGATGTGGACTGGGCGTAATGAAAGATTCAGCAAACAGGTGATCTTTTGCAGGACTCTTGTGGTTGTGACATTCGGTAAGGTCCGGTATGATGTATGAAGTCATCATGCTGCTCATCACTGAGTAAACCTAGGTTTGTGAAGTCGGGTTGCATCTTCCTTCCTGGTATTTTGCAACCCCGCAGTTCGGCAGTGCTCTACTGGGAGTAGGTCTTGTCAAACTCTATGTATTTGTTCGCGTCAGCGCCGAAGGTTTTAGGGTTTACTCGTTCCAAATAAGAGTGAAGGCCTGAAGCTTCCAATGACTTGTGAGAGACTAATGTACTGCCGAGACCAGGTAGCCTAGCATTTGGGGAAAGGAAATATGTCAAGTGTTGAGAGAGATAGAGTGTGGCGAACAGAAGCATGTGTGGAGAGTTTCCCCGGCCGGCGGAAGAATGACTCTCAGTGATGAGAAGGTGGGGAATGAAACCTTCAAGATTCTGATTCTTGTTGTTTATTACATCAATATAACCTCTAAATCAAAGAATTAAAAATCTAAAGGAGGTTGTGGAGAGGGTTGTGAAGCGATGATGATGACATCGATGTGTGTACTTTACAGTATTCTTCGGTATTTTGGCCAATAGTCATGCATTGTACACATCTGCTATTCACTTACGTGAGTCACAAACGTTTTTGATTTTGTCTAATGTCTAATGTGTACCAAGAAGTCGCGAAGACGTTTATCATGGGCCTGATCCTGTCTAACGATGTGTACATGTACGTGGCTGGGGAAGAAACTGCACACAAGTCTATTAGAGAATGGAATGTGTCGTGTATGAATATTGTACTGTACATCAATGAAAACCTGAAAGGGTAATCATAACATGTGCATGTATCAACAATTCTAATTCCGAATGAAAGAACCCGAGCTGGAAAGATAAACATAGTATACGAAACATCACCAGGATATTGAGTACAACTCTTTATTCATTACTCCGAAAGGAGGGAATATGAATGAGAATTGGAAATTCCATTTAACATATGATTAATTAACAATCACTCACTGTCATCGTTATTGTCACCAATTACAATTCTTTCGTAAATTACAATTCTTTCTAAGGTATTTTCCATAATTTTCAATCTTCTGACGAATGTGAAATTGAAAGCCAATTATACGGAACATCAACTGCAATGTAACCTAATGTTAACTCACGTTTTGGCAATTGTGAAAAATCTGAAATTGATCATATTTGATATGAAAAAAATAGTATGTTGCTTTCGTTTAAATTGTAATATATTAATGAAACTACTCAGATCGTGACTAAAAAGATGATAACGCACCTATGAATTATCACGATATAAAATTTGTTTATTCAAGATCCTTAAAATTAAAATTATTTTCTATTATAATAAGAAATATTCAACTTGTTTACACAAAATTACAACAGATTTAAGACCTAATGTCTTAATTAAATCTGACTCGATTACTAGGTTGCGTTAGATTTTAAGATGGATTTCAATTATCTTAGTTAAATTAACACATTATTAAATAAGTATATTAATTTTAACTCAAAATAATGAGATGAACTTTACAAGTTTGAATAAAGTAATTATAATCTTGTATTGTATGCGACTCAAGTGCTTTGAATGACTACACGGCGGTTTTCATTTTGTTTGTTTTTTGCATGAGCTTTTAAGTGTACTAGATTCTGTGGTCATGATGATTATTTTTTGGACCACTTTTGGAATATCTACGAGCTCAAATATTCGACTAGAGGATTTTTGGAAATTGAATCAGTAGGTAATGGCTAGATCATATATCTCCCTGGACAAGAAATAATTTACTATTGAGACTTTAGTAATTGATGATAATTGAAATCTTCAGTAGGAAACTGCTATTTAGATATGGTACTTAGATGTTATATTACATGCGTCAAAGAGAGAATGCAAAAGCTTTTGAATTTTCAAGACTTTGTCTTGACTAAACCCTAAACAAAAATAATAATTTGCTGTGATAGATTTGTCATTTAGAGAATAAGTTTGTGACTCACATTAGATCAAGCATAACATTATAAATTTTAATTGTGATACTCAAAGTATTTTACCTTTAGTTATGAATCCTGTGATGAATCTTATAATGTATGATATCAAAATAATGTATAATGTTTATCAAAACTCTATATATAATTAATGAACGAGCTAATCAAAATTAATCATTTGATTTTTTCATCAAAATGATTCACTTAAAGGTTTTTCCAAGACATGATAACAAATGTTTTGCACATGAATACAAGGAATATAGTGTAGCATTTATGTTATGTCCAGATATGATAAAGTTTATCTTAGATTTTAGTAAACTCTAGTTTACATAGAGATTCATACAAGGTTTGTAGTAAATATTTATTCACAATAATCATATAAGTTGTAAAGATATGAATCAAGGAAAATTTGTAAGTAGTTTATTCAAGTTTTTGTAAACTTTAGTTAATATAAATATGGCTACTTAGTCAAATTAACTTGTTATTATATAAGAAAGCTATAAGTGACACATACTTTAAGATTTTCATTGAAGTACCTCAATTCTTGTGAACATAGTTTGAAGGAACTCATTAACTCTTGTTTATTGTGTGTTTGTGTGCATACAATTTGCGTTGTGAATGGATAGTTAGAATCTGAAACTAGCTGTATTGAACTAAAATCAATTGGTGAAAATTATCAACGAATCAGTATAAATAAATATGTTTTTTAAAATAATTTGAAATTAATATTCAAAAAATATTAATACTAAACTTATATGTCATCTAAATTTTTGATGATGTGTGAAAGATTATGTAGGTTTCATTTTTTTGAAACAGTGTCATGAAAACTTAAAAGGCATGTTTGATGTATTCTAAATATTTTAATCATGAACAGAAAATTCATACTTGCATAAGTAATAAAGAATAAAACCAAAGAAGTATACTTGAATGAAGATACCGTAATTTTAAAGACATGTCAACATTAGTTCACCATCAAACAATGTTCAACACATCTTTGAACAATATTAGTTTGAAAAGATTAGATATTGACGTAGAGTGCTGAATGCTGTATTTTTTCTTTTCCTAAAATGGAAGATAAATTCAAGAAATTAAAATGTTAAAAACTAATGCCGCTAGAAATCCTTCGGCATGTGTGAACCATGTTTATTCGTTACGTGCTTTCCAAGAAATCCTTTGACTTCGTAGCCGACAATAACATTATGAAGCGGCAAGCTAATCATCTCAAACATTTGAATTTAGATGATGAAAATTTTATTTCACTCTAATTCATCACAAAAAATATGCTGATATTAGTTTTGGATATACACACTCTAATTTGGAATCACAAACAATAAGCAACGTCGTCAACTGATGTCGTCATAAGTGTGAAATCAAAGAAAGTAAAAAATGAAATCATTATCAATGCTCTTGATTGATACTTGTGCAATCCTAATTCGGTTTTTTGTTATTGTCTCTTCATAACCTGGTGCTTTGAATACCCTTCGACGGGTATTGTTATTATTTCTTTAACGAATGTAACGTACATGACATTAGGCTTGAGGAATGCCGGGAAAACGAAAGGTGGGCGGGGAGGCCACCACAGAAGATAAGGCGACGGTCATCCATCCGTCGCCTTGGACGGCGAAAGAAGCGCCGGAATATTCCACAGCGCTGCAAAGGCGCTCAGCAGTCTCGACTGCGCTCGAAATTCCGAGTTGGAACACGAGGCCAACAATTGTGGCGATGATGCGCAGCCGCGCCTGGGGATTTTGACTCAGGCTCGGAGCGTGTGCGCGCAGGAATTGCAGAGTCGAAGTGTTCGGTGTTTCGATGGAAGGGACTTGGTTCAGGATTCGTGGCGACAGGATTGTTGGGAGGTGATAGAACTGCGAAGGTGCTTCGCTCCCCTTACTCGCACTAATGGCGCCAGGATACCGAAGTGAGAAGGACTGCTGTGGTTGAGGAATGGTCTGCTCTTCCTGCAGGAGTTTGAGGGAACTCGATGGCGAACTCGAGCGTTGCTTCCGTTGTCGCACGCCATAGATATCTGTCTCCGACCAGTGCAGAGGAGGTCAGGTCGAGGACTGCACTTCTTGAATCCCGGCCCAGTCTTCCGTCGTGTACTCTTTATTTGAGATCTTACTGTGCTTGTAATCAAGGGGTTAAAAACTCGTTCGGCCTCAGGTCCCCGCCTTCGAAATTGCACAATGTGCTCAATTCACGCCATTCGTCTTCCTTTTCTTCGAGACGGAAGTCGTTGCGATCATTGTCGAAATCAGATCAATCTCAGGACATCTTGTCGGAGACTGGAGCCAGTGGAAAGAAGGTCGGGGTTGATGTATTGGACCAAGAGAAAGGAGGTTTTGATCGTGAGCCCCGTGACTTGAATGGTTCAAAGTTCTCTGAAGCATCTACCAGCGGCTCTGAATTGCCAAGCGAGGAGTCCTTGAAAAATCTGGAAGGATTCCTGCAACGGGTGAAGAATCAGGTGAAGATACAAAAGCTCGACGAAGATTCGCCAATAGCCTCCCCAGACAGTATTTTAGATACTTTGCTTCTCATCAGCCCCTTCTTTCTTTGGGGCACTGCGATGGTTGCCATGAAAGGCGTGTTGCCGAAAGCAGGTCCTATGTTTGTGGCATCTGTGAGGCTGATTCCCGCAGGTTTACTTCTCATTTGGTTTGGTGCTTCTAGGGGGAAAAAGCAACCTGCAGGGGCTATGGCCTGGATTTCGATAATTCTCTTCGGCCTGATAGACGCCTCGTGCTTCCAAGGTTTCTTAGCTGAAGGATTGAAGAGGACCAGCGCTGGCTTGGGTAGTGTGATAATCGATTCTCAACCTCTGACAGTAGCAATTCTAGCAGCTCTTTTATTTGGAGAAAGCTTAGGATTTATAAACTACGCTGGTTTGGCACTGGGAGTTCTGGGTCTTCTCTTTTTGGAAGTGCCCTTGGATTTGTTGAAGAATGCGTTAGCTTCAGCCAGTGATGGAAGTGGCTTGACAGGGTTGATTGGTGATTCATCCTTTCTGAACGAGTTTGCTTCCTGGGACCGAGGGGAATGGAGGATGCTTCTTGCAGCGCAAAGCATGGCTGTGGGAACTGTGATGGTTCGCTGGGTTTGTCAATACTCCGACCCATTCATGGCCACCGGGTGGCACATGGTACTGGGAGGGATACCACTTCTGATCCTTTCCGTTATCCAGCAAGATCCAGCCCTTAGTGGTCACATCCAGGATCTTGACGCTAATGATTGGTTGGCCCTTCTGTACACATCTGTAGCTGGGAGCGCAATAAGTTATGGGGTGTTTTTTTACAATGCAACTAGAGGGAGCTTAACGAAGCTAAGCTCTCTCACATTCCTTACCCCTATGTTTGCTGCTCTCTTCGGATTCTTATTCCTCAACGAAGTCCTTACACCGGCTCAGTTTTTGGGTGGGTTTATCACTTTAGCAGGAGTCCTGCTTGTGAATTATAAGCCCAGCCCTATTGTGGAAGTTGAGTCAGACTCAGACAACCAGCGAAAACTACCCTGAAGGTGATAATTTGTTTATATTTGTTGGATAATTCTTATCTCTGATACTCTCAAATTTCTGAGGTCGTAGGGTCTACGGCAATCCAGGCATCCTTTATCCTGTTAGAGCATTTGAAGAAGTTTCTCTTTTGTAAAGTAGGGATAATGTTTCCACTGCACATAAAAGGTGCGAACGTGGATTGTAATTTACATCTCTTATATTCTCTTGGAAGCAAGTAAAACCTTGTGACATCCTGTTCTACTTGCACTTCACATGAAAATTTTGCGGCAGTTTCAGCGAGTGCAAGTTTTTTGAGATCTGTTGCAGAACTTACAAAGGAAAGATTTGACTTAGAACGAGTGGATCCATGTGTTTCAACGTCGTATGAAGGACAGGGACCATAGGGAAAATACGACCTAGGCTGAGAAGCGTGCCTCAACTTCGCTCACCATGACGAGACACATACCCAAACTTGGCACAGGTTTAGTGTGCTCACACTGTTAATCACTTGCAACTTTAGTCGTCTGATTATAGTCGGCTCGGAATTGGGGACGCGACTTATGCTAGCAAGTGTTTCTTCCTCATTTCAACGGAAGTACTTCTTGGAAATTCCTGGAATGAACTTGCTAAACAGCGGAGAGAACGTGGATGTACTTTCGGAAATGGTGGGTTATCAATCATTGCACGAAACGAAATCTGAGCCCCCACTGTACAAATGAGCGTACCAAGAGGAAACTGCTCATTTAACGGCTGATTTCGTGAATGTGACAATGGGCTATCTCCTCTCACTCGAACAGTCCTAGCCAGTCTCTTATGCGCTCGGAATTCCATAACCACGAAATGATCGGTTTGTCAGCACACTGGAAGGGACGAGTCCGTTTCAGCTTGAAAGAACGAAGGACGATTTCAACCCCGTATAATACAACACGTTGGCAGTTACGGTCGAGATTTAACGAAGCGAAAATCGAATAACAGCACAGGATTACCCTAGACCTATTATTTGACGCGATGCTGTCTCTGGTCTCTAACTTACCAACAATAAACTTCATCGTACAGCGTATCCTTAGGACGAGACTTAGGTGTCCTACTGAGGAGCGACAAATTTTTTCCGCAACTTGGAATCCCAATTCTTTCGGCGTCTAGTCGAACTGATCAATGAGTCTGCCGACCGCGAGAGAAAGTCTCGGCAGAGCTTATGCACATGGAAGATCCACTTCCAGCTATTCGTCTTGAATGGACGGAGTGACCACACTGTGCCGGCCAATTGAAAGTCCCATAGCACAACAGGTTTTGTGTTGATTTCTTATTGGAAAGTGAAGACACCAAGCTTGGACGATGACCTCGTGTTCAGAAATTCCTTGTCCATGGAATTGAGAATGATCTACCAGCGGATGGTCTCCCAAGACGTGAAAGTGATGTGCCTTAGCGTGCGTTTCACGACTTCCAACGAATGAGCATCGTAGTTCAAGAGATTTCTAAGCGCATCACGAAGTAGGGGAGCCAACCTTCAAAGTGGGCGGGCCAGAAACAGGACTCTGTTTCTGTTCTAGTTCTGCAGTCTACTTTGTGAACTGCGTAGAACGAGCACTTAGTTCGTGGCTGAAGCAGTAGGGCATGACGATATGAGTTGAGACATAATGAGATGTTTACACGCTGCCAACCCTTCTATGTCTCGAACTACCGCCAAGCATTATTTGACCGAAGCTTTTAAGATATTCATCGACGGAATGCGTGACATTTCTATGATTTACTTCTAAGTTCAGCACATATCGAGATGTCGAATCGATAGCGGGAATTACTACCCATTGCTGGGCAACTGTGCACCAGAGTGTCTCTGAGCCTTAGTCCTCTGAATTTTCTTGAATTCAGTACTTTCGGAGAAGTACGATCCAAACAACTGATGAAACCAAGACAATTGACCGTGTGAATGAATTGCGGGTTTGGTCCGCTCGAAATTGGTTGCATGAGGAGTGTAGGAACTGGTGACATGTCACGAAAGAAGGAAAAATTTTCATCGAAATAGCAAATAGCTTGTTACCAATGCTCCTCAGAGTGATTATCAAAACGGAATTGCAAGACGTCTGTTACAGAGATACATACTCTGAAGCAGCCAGATTCGAACAGATTGTAAAATGCAGAGTTTTAGAACTTTGTTGAGAAAATGTCGGGAAGAGTATGAACTTGGTGAAAACCTGCGGGAATTTGTGAGGTGAATCTAGGGATCAGACAATTCCTACAATTACCGGTGGTTCAAAATCGCAATATTCCGTTTTGTGGCTGGCTATTCCGCACCTGAAACGCAATAAGGCTGTCAAGAGGAACCCATCTCAGGCTGTGTAGGCAGCAAACATTGCAGAGCTAGGTTCGCTGTTGCATCCTAGGGTGCTGATAAGTGACCATTTTTTGCTCCCAAGTCGCCTTTGCTTTCAGTTCCCGATGCTTTGGGCGTGAAGAGGCAGGCTGAGGGATTTGCAACCGATTTCATCTCTTAGATAAGAATAAAAGGTTAGTTATCTTGTAAATTTTGCTCCGTGTCTCAAATCGCAGATGCTGCAGTTCCTTGTGAGAAACTTAACAAATCATGTACTCTACTACCACAAGACCAACAATTCTTTGTAAGAGTAAATCCTCTAATTGAGGGCATCAAATGATGGACTGCCAGTGTTTACTCTGCCTCTCGTCATCGACCCATCAGCGTTGAGCCCTTCAGTTGCAAGTAGTCACCATGGACCGGGCGGAGGCACTGCGCGAGGAAGAGAAGGCGGACCATGCAATGCGCCGGACGAATCGCCGTTCCAGCTGGGCGGTAAGTATGCATGCATCTTGCCAGCAAGTACTTTTGAATTTGATTACTTTCTGAGAGCAAGGTTTCCGAACATTCTTCCCTTGGTCATATAATAGCGCCTCTAGGCGATAATTTGACAATACCTCTTGGTTATAAGCCACTGTGTTGTGAAAGAACCAGAATCACAAGAAACAAAAGTAGCCTTGATGTCTCGATCACTTTGTTTCAGAATTCATACCCAGCATTAGGTCAGTCTCTGACTCTGATGTTATTCTTTTGGGTAGAGGATGATCAACATGTGTTCTTCTCATTGCCAATGTGCAGCAATTGAACCAGCGGGATGCGCAAGACAGTCTAAACAATGCCATTGATAAAATTCAAGAGTCCTTGAGGAAGGGTTCTATGGCAACCGAAGTGAAAGTCACTGCCGACAACTTACGGAATTCTGTAAGCGGAGTCCAACATGAGCCCTATCTCAGCTGGTTGCAGAGTGTGGTGTGGGTCCCGTGGGCTACATGTTATATCATTTGTGCTAGTAGTAATCAGATTCCGGCTTTGCTCTGAAGGACGCCGAAGACTAGTAATAGATATGAAATGATTTTCCTAACTGTGGCAAGGGACTTGGTTTTATAGACCCAAGGACGAAAAGACGGTCTCAGCAAGCAGATTCTACTCGATCTTCAAAGTCGCTTTATTGCAGTGGAGGATACAAGTCAAGGGTTACTTGACAAGGTACTATTTCTGCTTTTTAACTGTGCAGTTGCAACAGTTCTTTGTATTATGTCCAGATTTGAAAACTTTCGCTAACCCTGGTTAAAATTTCGCTGACCCTGGTTACAACTGTCGTCATTATTTGATATACTGTCGTAGCCAGAAGTCCACTGGCTCAGGTTTAGTGGCTCAGTGGTGCTAGTATGAAGGTAATGATTGTTAAAAGAAGAGCTGAGATGAGATGAAAGCTTTAAGAAAATGAAAGAACTACTTGACAGTGAAGGCTGACGTGCAACAATTTGACCAATTGATCTCTTGACCTATTTTCTGATACCATTATTAGTATGACGGAGTTTGTAACGTATGGGTAACATACTTAACTAAAGCTTACCTGTACATTGCTAGAAAGAATTCAGAAGTGAGAGCACTTTGGTTTTGAGTCAGTGATCGCAAATATAAGCCTTGCATTGAGCAGAACGGGTGATCTCCTTTTGCTGGTGGATATTCTGCCATCACGTTTGACATTGCAGGATGGATTTATCAAAGCCTGCATGAGTATCAAAGGATTTGCAGAAAAGATGAGGTTAGTTATTTTTGTACAAACATTTGTGCTATTGTTGACGAACTTTTGAAAAGAAAATGCACGCTGCATTTTCTTTGTCAAATCGTCTTGAATTTCGGTTTAGTTTTCATCAGGTTCTTAGAGGATGAGCCTGCATCATCAGGTGTGAGGTAGCTGTTGGAAGACTAGGTGGTGAGAAATTGCCCTCTACGTGATGAATGGCTTAATTATTTAGCTGCTCGTGACCTCTTATAGTTACTGCATATATTGTCGTAAAGTCAATCACCATTGAATACTGAGTTCTCTGAACGTACAGTAAGAAGCAGATCGCCGATCTCTTCATGAAGATTGATGCAAACAGCATCGGTGTTATTGGCTTTGATGATTTCACGAGCTATATTCTCGTGCAGCAGGTAATATCTCGATGTAAAAACTTTACAGCTTTGCAATTCTGAAAATTAATGTTCTTTTTAACTTCAAGAACGGAGAACATGAGAAGCACTATGCGAATTTTATCTTTGATCTGCAGTTATCCCAAGAAGCAGAGCCAGCGTCGGAGCATACAACCTTTATCAAAGTCAATACGTTTGGAAGTAAAAAGTTTGGACGTTGTGATTTTGAAGACTCAGAGTCAGAAGACTCCGGTAATGATGATGATAGAATAGAACGTGACTCTGAAGAACCCATTTCATTCAAGGCTGACGTTGGTGGCAAGAGAGGGAATATAGACAAAATTGCCCGGGCAGCTAACATTATTGAGAAAGTAAGTTAGTAGATAAGTCCATTATCATTTGTCCTTCGCGTTTTTAAATTTTTAGTTTTTACCCCTGATTGTTTTATGGAATTAATTAGTGGCCATAAGTTTCTCATCCTGTCCTAATTAAATTGTTTGACTGATTACGTGCAGACTCTTCTTCTGGGTCCTCTTGATACTTATGTGACAGCTACTCAGAGAGGGCTGCTCAAGTTGTGGTCTGCAAACACCTTAAAGCCCTTACGAGCGGTGCTAAATGGAAATGGTGGTATGTATAGAACAATGTCTCCATAAGACATGAACGCTTCAAGCATTCCAAAGACGACCGTATATAGCTTGTAGATATCTCGAGCACAACAATGAAGCAGTAGACAAGTAAAATTTAACGATACGAGGAGGTTTTGGGAAAGCGCAAAAGGCACTTGGCTGAGGAGATCAAATATCGAAGCGGATGAGCAGGGAGTTGAACTTGAGAACTTCAGCTTTGTGCAGACGATTTAGATCTCACGTTCGACCCCCCACTCAACCCCTTTTTGGATATTTCCACGAATTCACATCTCCACCAATTTTTACAAGAAGGTGTATCTATTCAAGAACATCTTCTTGTCTGGGGAGTGGACCTTTTAGGTCAACGTCGTACTGGTCATCATCAGCTTGGATATTGTGGACACGTAGAATGAGGTAAATAAGGTATTTTTGTGCAAATCACTCAGAGAAGCCTCTGTTTATTGTTTTGCATTTTCAGCATGGATCACAGACATGGTGGTCATGGCACATCAACCTCTTGCAGTCTTCTCTCTCGACCGAAGGTGATATGCTGTCTTATAAGTTATCAACGAAGCTCCTCTAATTTCTAATTTTCGAGGAGTGAGATCAGGAGTATTATGTGCCTTAGGAGTTTCAGTACCATAAATGTTTATGTACTAGAGCTATTTCTAAGAGATGATGCATAATACAATCAGATCTCTATGTCTAAAATTTGTCTGGACTCGTGGATCAAAACTAGTGTTTAACTTTTCTATGGAACTCCTACTCATGAGTGTTGTGGCAGTATTACGTTTTATGACACAGGACGATTATCGTTTGATGTTCTTGGCCGGATTGAGAATCTTGTAAGCCTTCAAATTTGGGAGTTCCTCAAAAAGGCAGTTGGACATTGCTTAGCTCTGTTTTTGTACTTCGCTTACAGTATTTGCACTATTTTTATTTCTTCTTTTAAATCTTCATCAAACGGCAAACTTGGATCATTGTGTCCGTCTCTTGAAGTTGTGTGCAGGTGAATGCACCCATGTGTGCTACATGGCTGCGGGTTGCTGAAAGTGACAAACTGCTCTATGGTGACGACCGGGGAATCGTTCACACTTACACTTTTACAGACGAATGGGGCGGGTATATACCTGGGCCAAGAAGACTGCGAACATTAAGTAAAACAACCTGTAACGTTTTCATATGTTGCTAATCTCTGTGGTTTCTTCTACAGCATGAACATAAGACCATAGTGAAGTGAAAAATTGACATCACATGCGTGTTTAGTGAATCTAAATGCCATATTGAAGTATCTTGGCCCAATGGAAGTTTTGCAGAGATAGCGACAAAGGCTTCGGAATTGCAGATAAAGTTTTACCTCCTGGAATGACCGAAAACATACCTTGGGTACTGCATAGCGATTGGGTGACGCGAATTCGATACATGGCTCACTCCAACTCATTGCTGACCGCATCTATGGATGGAAATCTGCTCATGCTGGACTTTGAGAAGAGGATCCCCAAGTGGACCGCAAAAGAGCATGCTCATGGTATATATGGATGTGAGTACTGCAGGTTATTTTTCACCTTTATACCTTTTCTCTTCAACAGCTTTCAATGGGTCTATCGTGCAAGTATTTGGTGTTTAATGAGGTGAAAAATGGCCATGTTCAATATCATTACATTCTTGGACCTGCTGACTGAAATCCGAATTTCATCTCGCTGCATCCTGTAGTCGCCTGATCAAAGAGGACTCAAAAATCAGGCAGTAAATCTCAATTTCTGAAGTCTGTATGAAAGTTCAAACATCTGATGGAAGAGATGAGAGCTGCGAAAGGAGTTACAGAAGAGGTTAGAAATCCTTATTTAAAGATTGGAAAAAATCCTCAATGGCTTGAACAGTCATTTCTGATTCCGTTGTTTGGCCTTCAGGAGCTACAACTTTATTGTAACGTGTGGGCTAGAGAGATATATAAATATCTGGAATCCCTTTACAGCTAAATTGATGGGCGTGTTACACGGACATGAAGCTTCAGTACTGGTGCGTTCGTTCTGTACTGGATCCAACTTCGTAGTAGAATCTGTTGAAATGATTATCCTGTACTCTTTTGCAGCCATGATCATGCGTTGTGCTATCGATCAGTGCTATCGATCCTCGTGCGTTGCTTCTGAAGTGCTTCATATCGCCTCAGAGAGGAACTGTTTCTTTTAACAGGCATGTTTTGCATCCATTTAAAGTTGCTCTGTATTTCAGGATGTGGTCGTTAATGAAACAGACAACCAAATTGTGAGCATCGCTGCTGATAGCGTAATCAAAGTCTGGGACATGCGCAGCAGTCGTTGTCTACAAACTATAATTGAAAAGACTGAACTGCCAACGAGAAACAACATTATGTATGACAATCAAAGACAAGTATATCACAACCTGTTCCCACCTGATATGTGTTTCACGATTATAGCTCATTGCTGTAAAATACCAAGCATAACGAAATCCTGAAATATACTGAGAGAAAGGGTGTGGACATCCATGCGGATTCTGCACACTTGTCCGTGTGTATTCCACGCTACGTATATCTGAAAAAGGTCTTAAATAAAATCATACCTTCATCAACATTAGTCTCGTAGAACAGTTCCAGGTATCATCTAATGGGTAACTAGATTGATAAGGAAAGGCAATGGACGGCAGCATACCACATAACAATAATGGAAGCCACCGATGAATTATATACTAAAAAATCCAATCTGTTTATTATCTTAACTAGAGTGCTAATTATTATGAAAAGAATGCGAATTAGATCCTGATAAGAAGAAGGGCAATGACTGAAAGAAGTACTCGTGATTATGGGCATGCCCGATGTTTTCAGAGGTGACAGTACATAAGTCTTGTACAGATTGATATGAGACGAAGTTGAACTTCTGTTATCTAAAGTTACAATTACGTAACTTGTTGACTACCTAAACCACTTAAGTTTTGACTTATCAGGTCCTTCTTTGTGGAGGTGCAACGCTGGAAATGTGGCATAAAAGGAAAGCTAGAGAAGCAAGGACTTCAAAGCTTTGCGGATGTCTGTACAATTCTCTGTTCCGCCAGGTTGTTTACTTCTCCTTTCTCAAATGGCATCATGAAATCATCTAGGGTTGTAATCATGGATGTGAACGACGAGCTGTATCACGGGCAGACCTCTGTGCCTTACAAGAAAATTTTACTATTTTAGTTATCTAGTTATGAAAGGAATCATTTATGTAGAGGTCAGGAGGAATCACAGCCAAACAATCAAGATACGAATATATCTACTCTTAAAAACTTTGACCGCGATGAATGCTGTATATTCATAACAGGAGGACAAGTGTTCTATGCGAATGGGATAAATCTGCTGTCTCTGGTTTGAATACTATGTAGAACTGGAATCTTTTTTAAATTTCAAGAGAAGGATATATTGTTCAGGGAAGAAGTAACGGAGGGATTCAAGATAGACGACATTGCACATTGTAACATTGCTTTGACCACGTCAGGTAGTTGTTGGAGAGGTTGATTCATTAATAATGGTTTGGAGTATTGATACCGGCGAAGACGTTTTCACATTTTCGGACGCGCTCAGGTGACAATTCCTATTTCTGTTGATCAGCTTATATTAAATAGATATAAATTTCTTACAATGTTTTTTTAAAAGAAGGGATAAATGTTTTTGGATTGTATCGGAAAGCTACACCCTTAAATAATATTAAGCATTCAGTTTATCCTGTCAAAGTCTGAAGTCTTCATTCCATGTGGATAAGAACCGTAAGAACTAATTCATGTATTTGCATACATTGTTAGTTGCTATTTGCTAAGTTTTTTTGTAATTTGATCTCGAGGAAGAACATAAGAACCTATAAGATGCATGGAGATCTAGGAAAGCAAAAACAAATCCTTATTATTAGATGGTGAATACACTTTTAAGAGTGAAATGTATTTTTGTCATGGCACGATAAATTCCCGCCAAGAAATATGTAGGTATTGATCAGATAAATTAATAGAAAATCAATTTTGAAGGATTCTTCTTCAATAAAAAACTTGATGGTGATCTGGACGAAAACCTTATGGAGTTTTTTTACAGCAATAATACTTCTTATTATCGAAGTTCGTACGTGCCATCAAACTTCTTTGGACATGCAATTTATATGGAGTTCGGATACATTGAAGAGGACACCATTTATACTCACTCACCTGGTCACTTTGTACCAATCCCTTAACAAGCAGGGGCACCAAGCTGTCAGCGATGGCATTTGATCAGTCTCAACGAAGATTGTTGCTAGCGGGCCAGGACGGAAGTTTGCGGATGTGGAATTTCAACAATGGAGAATGCTTGAAGGAGTTCCATGGGTTCGGCCAGGTAATTTACTGAACTTTAAAATTCCATTATCTTAAATCTCTTAAATTGTCTCGAAATGAAGACTTTCTTTAAAGTGTTTGTCCTGCTGTGGTCATAGAGCTAATATTCGTTGAATCTGATTCAGCTTCTCATCGCTTGAGGTCGATGCTCCTCATTTTTTTTATCTTATTCTGGTTTAAGGACCACCCATAATCTTTTGCATGGAATATCTGAAACAAACACATTTAATATGAAAGTACATGAGTATGTATGAATGATCGGTTCAACTATGTTCTCAATCGCCAGGATGAAATCAATGCTGCTTGTTGCTTGGTGGAGACAAAGAACATGTTTGTTATTGCGGTCGGCTGGAACAATAAGGTAAGCCTTTTAACATCTTTGTGAAGCTTTCTGTCTGCCTTAAATCTTGAGTTTCCGTTCTTTCAAACGAGGTCCCATGTGTAGATTTGGATCACTCACCTCCACTGTTGGTCTATCTAATCGATCCTCAAGAAACTGTTACACCACCAAAACCATGGATATTGTCAATCTATTATATTGTGTTAAATTGATGATGAGCCTGTTGGCGATCCCGCTGTAGATTTTCACGCGAGAAAACGTATATATCTAAGACCAGTAATTCTCTACGCATAGGTCTGCATGTGGCACGATGGAACGAGGGCAAGAGAAAACGTTATCAAGAGAATGCAAGGTCATTCAGATGATGTTGTGTGTGTTACCAATTTACCACCGAGCAACATAGCCACCGGAGGCTGTGATGGCAAGGTCAATTTCGTCCTCAATATGACCTTCCCGTAAGCTTATGACCTGTTAGTTCTTGTTTCCTTGGAACTTTAAAATGGAAAGTAGTGAATGATGGTGAGAATGTGCCATGTGTGACCAGATCATAATTTGGAAGCTGGATGGAATTATCAAGTGTCAACTGCGTGCTCCTGAGGCGGAAGACTCAGATTTTGATGAGAGTACCATTTTAGATCTTCTCTACTTGCAAAAGCTCGTGCGTACATTTGACACTTATCTCAAAGACTTCTCAGTATGACTAGTTTATAACAGTCAATTCTATGGCTTAGATATTCATTGATAAAATCTCTTGGGCAAACAAATAATTCGCGTTGTTTGCATTATGGATTGCAAATTATGTAAGCATTATTTTAGGTACTCATTTGATGAAATACTCAGGTCGTTAAAAGAAAACTTTGTTAACAGGGTAAGGTGGTTGTTGCCTCTATCGCAAATGGACATCTCCACTTTTGGCGCCTTCACGATTGCAAACGGGTACAGCACAGAGCATCGACTTCCGAACACATCTATATTACTGATAGTTGGAAAGTACATTAAGAGTGAATGTCTGCCTAAGCGCGACCTCACAAGGTTTCTGCACCACCTGGTATATTGTTTAGCAATGGCTTCGAATAAAGCTGTAAGGTGCAATGTGGCGGCTCTGGCTGTTTTAGTAACAAGTAATTAGGTCTGAATTTTTATCACAACTTTTGGCTCGCATGGGAAGTTTGGTTTCAGAATGATCTGTCACTTGAATGGACTAACATGTGACTTAAAACAGGTGTATGACCTTCAAACGAACCACTACAATTCGCCAGGACCCATTTGCGTGGATGCTAACAATGAAGTGCGTATACTCACGTGGTCAAAGTTGATAGAAACTGATTAAGAACGTACTAAATATATGTACATAACGTGGATTTTGAAATCTCCTCGATATATATCATGCTTCACATGGTACGTTGGATGGAATAAGATAAGTTTTCTACTATTTCGATCGGTCATCACTACTTACACAGTATCACCTCCACAAATATGTTATTTGGTACCTCAGGTTATATATACTTGTGACTGTAGAGGATATGTGAAGGTCTGGAGCTTGAAAGATTGTCACTTTAATTTGACTGATACGATTCCATCGGTCATACCAGACCCGGCGACTTTCCGAGCCCACCATGAAACTGTAGTAAGCACTTGGTCAACTTTTTAAGTAATTAAACGTAAACTCTTAAGATGAATACTATGTAAATGGCAGATTAGGATCGACAGTATTCTTGCATCTCTTTCAGCTTATAAACTTTGGAACTTGTGTCTGCTTGCTTTTATACAACTAGCGAAACACATAAATCTTCGGGAAAATTTGGCTCTGACAGTCGCTTGAAAGCAGGTGAGCATGGCTTTTGCAGATCAGGATAGACTACTGGTGACGACATCACTATATGGAACAATGTATACATTTCTCTGCGCCCGTTCCTGCGGGTCATGTAGGAGTCTTCGTTAGTGAAACTACAATCAACTTCAATGAGCGCAAGATACTTATTAGTATTTGCCTGCAACAGTGTGAAGACCATAAGATCTCACCGCCTTGCTTATGAAAGAACTTTATCTCACTTATTTCTTTTCCAATGAGTTGCAGAATTCAACAATAGTTGTGCATTGAAGAAATCATATTTGTTCAGCTCTTTTCTCAACATTACTACTTCCATATGACCATTGAGGCAGTTTTGAGCTTCTGACTAAGGCCTACAAACCTCGACCAGCCGTCTGTGGACAGAAGTTGGAATTCGGATCGGTCAATTTGGACAAACGACCGTGTGGGATTTGTCAAACTCTCACACATGGAAGGCCAGGGAAGCATCTTACCTCTCTCCTGCCCTGCATCGGAAAGGTATGGATTCTGCTTTGCTTCGGCCATCAGGTGGCAGAGTTCTTGGAAGCAGAGCATCGAGAATGAGTGTAAGATTTTCTGAGAGTGGCACGGGTAGTCGCGTTTCATTCGAAGATGAAATAAAAGCAGCAATTCAAGCAGCTGAAGCTATGCCTGCCCCAGAAATAGAGCTGTAAGTCTGGTAGCCCGGAACCTAACCTTTTGCTTCCTTCTCTTCAATACAGGAACTTCCTGTTACAAACATTTCTGACGGAACCTTGACGAACCACCAATAGTGCACGTATTTCATACTTACAAAACGGATTCAAATTTCAATTGTATTCGTCCTTTTGAATGCGTTAAAAATTAAAAGAATCAAAGTAAATACTTTCCGTAGTAGGTTCTCCTTCATTCTCGGCGTGTGTTCACAGAACTTACGAAGAAAAGAAACAAAAAGTTCTCGATTATGGACCACCGTGGTTGAGACTGGAGTCGTGGTATAACCCTCTGCGAACGTCCATTGACCGTCAGCTACCTTACAAGGTCAGTTTGCACGGATGAGCTGTCTGTTTCTTCAGATTGAACCTCGCTTTCCAGTGGGATATGGGATGAAGTTATCACGACTACAAAGCAGAGCAGGGGTTTATTGATTAAGGGTTCAACCTTTACTTTTTGTGACCGGGTGATGGACAGAATTTGACCTCCATAGGACCACTTTTACCTGCTGACCTCTCTGACTTCGCTAAAGAGAAAGGGCTGAAGATATGTGGACCGGGATCTATAGCCAGAGGGCAATCTCTTATTGTCAACAACTGGAGATCACCGCTGAGAAGGAGAACGAGACAAAGTCAGGTGATGTTTCTGTGGATTAACTCTTGATTAGGATACTTCAAATCTGCAGAGTTATTTAATTCGTGAATTTCTAGCCAACTGCATATGTCGTACCATGCATATGTTCTTCTTTGCCCTCGATTTAAATCTCCTCAATTTTCGAAGCTTCTTATACTTTTACAATCATAAGATTATAATTGTCTTGAGATGTTCCCCAACAGGTTCAAGCAAACAAGGGGGAGACTCCGAAGGTGTGAAAATGCTTGTCTGGTGATTTCATGTCTCCACTGTTGACAGAAGTACTCAAGGCAATATCATGATCGGCAGGAACTTTTGTGCCGACATCAGAAATTTGTTCAACACGAGGGAAAGACTCGAGTGAATTATAGTGAGAGAACGATAGTAGTAGAAAATATATCATTCAAGAGTGGATTTGGCCTTGTTCCGGAAAGGTTTGAAAACATTTTCCAGTAGTATGACTTCAGAGAGGTCCGACTATTGAGAGATGTAGCAACGTCTGCTCTGCAGTTAGGAAGGTACTACAATGGAATGAAAACTCACGTAGCCAAGCACTAAAAGCCCATTATTATCAATCTGTAATGACCCATCTTAATACGGTATAATTCATCACCTGCACCAGGCAGAGAGGCTAGTAACATGTTCTCGACTCCACGAGCCTTACGTTGGGGCGAGATGCTCCGTCACATGTTTTTCAACAGAAGTGCTCAACACTTAAGACAAGGCTATCCGATTAAAAGTAATCAATTCAATATCATGACTGCAACTGCTTATTGTGAGACTTGGAGATACCGCATCGACTGACCTGTCCATGCAATATCTTGGTTGCTTCAGCAGCTTCATATTTGCGCATGAACTAATGAATCAATTTGCCCAGACTGACCACAAGAAAGTTTTTCGTAATACTGACGATGATTTAGACCAGACAGCTATTCTAGCAGCTGAATGTGGCGCCAGCGACGGTGCCTGGTGAGCATGCACCAGACAACAGCTGCATGTGCAAAGGTCAAATTCTGTTATGAGAATTCCGGTTTACACCTTGTCAGTACTTCCGCTTTTTTTGAGTTAAAGACTCACACAAAAACAAATCACTTGAAGGCCGTGAACTGTGAGTCTCATGTACATGTCTCATGCCATGAGATTCAATCTTGTGCATTGTTCGCCGAATTTAGCTCTCAAGGCTTTCGGACAATGCTAGCTAGATCAACCCCGACCGTATGCCTGTGGGCTCACGGCATACGGTCACGTTGTGACGTTCTCTCCTTTGTGACGGCGGGTGAATTCTTCAGGCGACGGTCACAAAGCAAACTACCAGGGCTTTGGCATCCTTGAACAAACTCTTAAAGAGGAGCCATATTTTTAATCCAAACTCCACACATGTGAACCCTAATACCACAATCTTTGTGGTATTAGATCAAGGGGCCAATGGCCAAAGATCTTATTTGAAAGAGTTGCATATCCTACTCTTAAGGTCTTTTCAGTGCAATATGTATGGGTGATATACGCGTAATACACAATATGCTTTTGCAGATTTGAATACATTACGTGAATTTAGAAACCTACTGCACAAATAATTGTATTGATAAGCTCTAACATCAAAATTGCAGTTTTTTGCTGATATATTTGAAGAGAATGTAACCCAAGCTTCAACACCCTAGCACACTTCACAATCAACAAAGAATAAGAAATTATACTCCTTATTTGATTATTTTGACTCAAGTTTCTGCAAGAGGTCAAGTATAAAAAATATTATTTATTTGTAATCTCCATTTCATATGAATATTCACATGAGTGGAAAACTAAAGTAAATTCCAAAGCTTGAATAATTAGGGGCTCATGCACGGTGTGTCCAATATTTCAACTATGCACTCTACTATCCACAAACTCTATATTTACTCAACAAATGGTGGTGATAAACTGGCCTGACACACACTCCACACACTTCAGGTTTATCAAACTCCAGAGTCGGGTGCTCGTTGTAAGGTCTCTCTAATTATTAGAATGTGCACATAGGGATAACTGTGGGAAACAAGAATGTTTAATGATAACAAAAGAGAATCACATAAATACCCTTGAGGTCCCTGAAAAGCAAGGAAGCCCAAGGGATGAGCTCGTTCGTCCCTTGTGGTAACCCACTTTTTGTTTTTGTGCGGAATTTAAACATTTTTGAAAAACAAGTCCCGCAGTAGCAACTGTAAATAGTAATCGGTACACAAAAATAGAGTAAAATGGAAGATCACGGGTCACGGAGAATCACGGAGAATCACGGAGTTGGGCGCAATGTCGAGGACAAGCGCCTTGGCCGGAACGGACGGTTCCTACTGAGGGGAGCGCCTCTGGTGCCTTTGGCAAAAGCTTTCTTGTTGAGGGGTCTTCGGCGAAGCACTTTCGGCGCAAGCAGGAGCAAGCGAATTGCTCCTGCAGAAGAGCTTTTGCGGAAGACGTATGAGGCCTGGGACGGATGCGCCTTCGTCGCTAGACTACACCTTCGGCGGTAGAATCCTTCGCCCGAGCGCCTTTGGCGCAAGCGCTCTTGATGTTAGGTTTCGCCTTTGGCGGAAGTTCAGAACTTCGCCTTCGGCGGAGCACGTTCGGTGGAAACATGCGCCCTCGGCGGAAGGACGCACCTACGGTGAGAGCACCTTTGGAGGGAGAAGAAACGACACAGACGACGGCAAGATGCAGTGACTTCGGTCGTGCGCCTTTGGCCGTACGCCTTTGGCAATGTGCCTTCGGCGGAACGCCTTCGGCGATGCGCAGGACGTGGAAGAGAAACCAGACGGAGCAAGAAGCTTCGCCGCAACGCCTTCGGCGCAGCGCCTTTGGCGATACGCGAGCGGAGAACAGCTTTCTTGTTGAGGGGTCTTCGGCGAAGCGCCTTCGGCGCAAGCAGGAGCAAGCGATTTCGGCTCAGACCCATGCAGAAGAGCTTTCGCTGAAGACGTATGAGGTCTAGGACGGATGCGCCTTTGTCAAGGGAAGGCGACTTCGTCGCTAGACTATACCTTCGGCGGTAGACTCCTTCGCCCGAGCGCCTTCGGCGCAAGTGCTCTTGATGTTAGGTTCCGCCTTCGGCGGAAGGTCAGAACTTCGACTTCGGTGGAGCACCTTCGATGGAAACATGTGCCCTCGGCGGAAGGACGCACCTACGGTGAGAGCGCCTTTGGCGGGAGAAGAAACGACACAGACGACGGCGAGATGCAGTGACTTCGGTTGTGCGCATTCGGCCGTACGCCTATGGCAATGCGCCTTCGGCGAAAGTAAAACGCCTTCGGCGATGTGCAAGACGTGAAAGAGAAACCGGACGGAGCAAGAAGCTTCGCCGCAACGCCTTTGGCGGTGCACCTTCAGCGATATGCGAGCGGAGAACAACTTCGGCGGAAAACGGCCGAATGCGCAGCGCGGAATCCCACGCCGTTGCGTGGGAGTCCGCGCAACGGCGGAGCGTGAATTCGAGCGTGCGAATTGGGCCGTTACGCCTCCGCGCCGGCATCGCCTTCAAGCGAGCTGCGGCCAGTCCAAGTGTCAAACGTTGGGCGACCTAGATCGCCAAAGGAAGGGAAGACCTCGCCGCGCTCTCACTCTCCCATTTTTGATTTCGCATTCACTTGATTCGCAGCAATCTTGCGGAGAGAATTCTAAGGGTGCGGAGTGAGAGGAGCGCGCAGCAATCGAGTGCGCGGAAGTAGAATCTTGCGGGAGTCTTGTGGGAAATTCGCGGAGGACTTGTGGAGTGATCGCTGAGAGTGAGGAGAGTGCGCAATCGCAATAGCTCGCGAAGACCTTGCACGGAGAGATTGCGGGAGTGCGCAAGAAGTGTAGAGAGCAATCACAGCGAGTTCGCTCGAACTCCTGAAGCGCAGAGAGAAGCAAAAAAGTTTGCAAAGGCAGAAAGAAGAAGTGTGATGGCACTTGCAAGAAGTTCGATGGCCCCGTCCACCCAGCTGCGGATGGTTCCGCTGAAAGTGCCGCAGATTGGTCTGCGCGCATTTCAGCGCGAGCTGACTGCGGTGAGGCTCGATTTCCTCCTATGGGGATGGAATTGGGTGTGTCCGGAGATGGTACGCGAGTGGCTGCGGGAGAGTAATCAACCTCTGCGCGGATTCCGACCGCATTCGGAGAGATGGCAGGTCAACGACTGGGAGCAAGTGTTGGGAAGGTGCGCGGGAGAAGAAGGACATCTTCTTTTTGAATGTGATAGTGTGCAGGTTACGAAGGAGGAAGAGATTTCCTTCGGGGCTTTATTCAAGCAGAGCAAGTCTGGCAAGAACGGGTACAAGACCCGTGACTACAAGGATGTGGAGGAATGTCGCGGTAGCATTCCTCCAAATTTTGCAGCCGCACCGGACCACCTACATGACTTCTTGGCAGGTGGGGTTTATGGAGCTGGCGTTGGCTGGAGCTCCGATCCATTGGGCTCGTATTCTCTGGAAGGCGACTAGACAGCACGCGCAGGAGGAGAAGGGGGGATCGATCAATCACCTCTCCCCCTTCTTGATCAATTTCTATCGGTCGATGGGATGCTTGACAGCCACGGAGCGAGTGCAGTTTCCCTTGCTGTCACGCAACAATCCGGGCAGGTTTGTGAAGGATGTCGAAGTTGACACCGACGAGGACGAGACGCCCGCCTGCACGCCACCAGCTCGACCGAGAACAGAGGAAGAACCGCGTACCACGAAGACCGCGGAAGCGGAAGTGGGATGGAGAGGCGGAGCAGAGTCAGCAAGACGCTGTTGCTGCTCCCAGCCGAAGTCAAACGATTCAGGAGCTCTCCAGTCGTTCCAAGCAGAAGGCTCGCAGGCTCGTCCTGTCCGCAAGCAGCGCGGACACCGGACGAGCTGCGGAGAAGAGAAACTCGCCATCTTCCGGGGAGGATGTGAGTGCACGAGCTAGCGAGAGGACAGCGGATCTCCCTGCACCGAAGGCACGGATGCCTTCGGAGGAAGCGAGAAGGCCTTTGGGCCAACGAAGACGACATGCGGCACCGACGAGTGTGCCAGCGACAGACAGGTGCTTCGCCTCCGAGCAAGTGCCGTTCGACGACTCGACTTCGGATCAAGAGCCTTCGGCGCATGAGAAGAGTGGGGAGGAGCCTTCGGCTGAAGGGTCTTCGGCTCAAGAGCCTTTGGCTTAGAGTACTTCGGGTCAAACGCCTTGGGCGGAAGCGCCTTCGGCGCAGACCCAACTTGAGGAATCAGCCAAGGACAAAGGCCGGAAGGAGGAGACACGTGTGACTTCGGCACAAGCACCTTCGGCGGTAGCAGATCGGGCTGGAGAAGTAGGCCTGCCGGAAGCCAGATCTCCCACCGCATTGGATATATTGGCCAAGAGTGGAGTGGCGGTCGCACCAGCAGAAGCCACGCGACCCAGTTCCAGGAAATCGCCGAGGATTTCTATGGCGACAGAGATCCTCGACTCAGAGGACGAAGAGGACGAAGACTGAGGATGAGAAGGGCAGGAAGTGGAGTCGGTACAAGGCACGCCGACAGGAGTATTGTGCGAGCAGGTGGTACCACTACTGCGGTACCTTGATCGCAAGGCGGCAAAGTACGCTGATCCCGCCATCGAAGATCATACGTCGAATTGGTGCAAAATCGGACGCGAATCAAAGTCGCGACGAGTCTTGTATTGATTTCCCTGGACAACAAGTGCAGAGAGTTGGAGTTGAAGAACGATGCCTTACACGGACATCTCACACTCTCGCGGAAATTGCAAAAGGCAATACTACAGCTGCGCGATGACAAGGCGGCCGAGGCACATAGAG